GCTGCTGCTGCTGCTGCTGCTGCTGCTGCTGCTTCGGGAGACTGCGTCGGCACTCTTGCTGTGGTTTCGGGTGCAGTGGTTTGTGAGGGGCCTGGACGAGGGATGGAGTGAAGAGCTTCTGCTGCTTCTCTTGCTGCTGCTGTTCTGCGCGCTGCTGCTGCTGCTGCTTCAGTCGCTGCTTTTGCTGCTGCATCTGCAGCCGCAGCAGCAGAATCAACAGAAGCAGCAACAGCAGCACCAGCAGCAGCTTCAGTGCCGTTGCACGAGGAGATGTGAGCAGTGGAGAGTCTACAGAGTCCCGTAGAGACAGCAAAGCGTATGATTTTGCTGCTGCTGATGGTGCTGCTGCTGCTGCTGCTGCTGCTGGCGCCCGCGCCGCTGTCTTCGTTGTTCATAGCTGCTGCAACGCTCAAGCAAGACAGCGGTGGCATGCAGTCCCGCTGCTGCTCTTCCGCGAGGCGCTGCTGCAGCTGCTGCAGCTGCTGCAGCTGCTGCTGGAAGCCACAGTTTGTTGTTTTTAGCTTCTGTTGCTGCCGGCGCACCAATGTCTCCAGCTGCAGCAGCACGCCGTCTGCATGCAGCAGCAAAGCGCTGCTGCTGCTGCGTTCGAGGACATGCAGCAGCAAGCGAGGCACTGATACCATAACAGGCAGCGTGTGCTGCTGCATGCTGTTGTCAGTGCTGCTGCTGCTGCTGCTACTCCTGCTGCTGCTGCTCCTGCGCGCCGCTGCCGTGCTCCTGGCTATTCGAGTGTCTCCACTCTCCCCGCCGTCTACGGAGTCGCCTCCCTGGCTGCTGCTGCTGCTGCTGCCGCTGCTGCTGCTGCTGCTGCTGCCCCTATACCTCCAATACGCCTCAATGACCCTGGCCAGAAGATTCACTACCAGGTTAACTGCGACGGTGCCGCTGGTGTGTACGTACACCGCGCGGGCAGTGCATGTGCTGGTGCTGCTGCTGCTGCTGCTGCTGAGGCCTGAGTCAAACAGAACAGTTGCTGCTGCTGTTTCTTCGGTGTGCAGCAGCGGCGGCAGCAGCAACGCAGCAGGCGGCAGCTCTTCAGGCAGCAACAGAGCGCCTCGTGCCCTGCAAGCAGCTTCTACCGGCGCTTGCCACCTCTTTGCTGCTGCTGGGGTTGCTGCTGCTTCTGCTGCTTCAGCAGGAGCAGCAGCAGCAGCAGGAGCAGCAGTTGCTGCGCGGAGACCTGCAGCAGTTACTGTGGGGAGACAGTAAAGAGACATTATATGAGATAAATAAGTTGCAGCAGAGACGCTTGCATCTCCACTGTCTGCTTCGGTGGCCCCGCGCCACCACCACCTTCTCGCCGGGGAGCAGCTGCTGCTGCAGCTGCTGCTGCTGCTGCTGCTGCTGCTCTGTGAAGCTGCAGGCGAATCAGGAGCGTTCAGTGGTTCATGCGCAGCAGCCGCCATACCCTGGATATTGTTGCTGCTGCTGCTGCAGTCTGCTGCCTCCTGCTGCATGTCCTGCAGCTTCGGTGGCCTTTTGTGCTGCAGTCCTCGCTGCCCTGCTTCTGCTGTTGCTGCTGCTGTTGTTGCTGCTGTTGCTGCTGCAGCACCAACTGCGGGACGGTTGTCATTGGTGTGTGCTTTTGCTGCTGCTTCTGCAGCAAGCTGCGCCGAGGTGCGAGCAGCAGCAACAGCAGCAGTTAAGAGGTCAGAAGGCAGCACGGAGAGACAGCCTGCTGCATCAACGAAGCAGCGGCAGCAAATCCCTTTTGTTGCTGCTGCATGCAACCGCAGCGAAGCAAATGCTGCCGATGGCAGCAGCAGCAACTCATGGGCCGTCAGCAGCACCCCCACACTGCTGCAGTCCGTCTGCTGCTGTCTGCTCTGTTGTTCCTCACGCGAGTGCTGCAGTTTCTGCTGTTGCTGCTGCTCCTCCCGCGATTCCTGCTTCTGCTGCTGCTGCTGCTGCTGCTGCGGAGGCGGCAGCGGCGGCAGCACCAACAGCCCAAGCAACTCAATACACCCCGCTCTGAACGCGCACGTCCTCGCCACTGCATGCAGCAGGCACAGCCGCAGCACGAACTGCAGCAAGCTGGGGCTTGGTGATGGTGGTGATGCTGCTGCTGCAGTTGCTTCTGCTGCTGCTGCTTCTGTTGCTGCTGCTTCTTCTGCTGCGGTGACTGCTAGCTGGGCGGACTGCGCCTCTATCCCTCCGTCAGGTCCCGCCATACTTTCTTTGCTGCCGATGTGTCTGCTGCTGCTGCTATTGCTGCTGGTGGTGTTGTTGCTGCTGCTGCTGCTGTTGCTGTTGCTCTGAAGACGGCAGGTGACGGATACCCGCCCTGCAGCGAGCAGCACGCGGCTGCTGAGGGGTCTTTTGCTGCTGCTGCTGCTCTGCTGCAGTGCCTGCCTAATCAGCAGCAAACAGCCGAAGAGAAAGGAGACGGGCGCCAGAAGCTCCCGCAGCAGTCTGCTGCTGCGGCTGCCGCCGCTGCTGCTGCTGCTACTGCAGCTTCTGCCGCTGGTGCTGCTGCTGCTGCTGCTGCTGCCGCAGTGACCTGATGCATCTTCGGGATCTGCTACTCCTGCTCGTGCCTCCTTGTTGCAATGGGCGGTGTCCTCACTGCTGCTGCTGCTGCTGCTGCTGCTTGGTGTCGCCTCTGCCTCGTTGCGGCTGAGGGACAGACACAGACTGGAGACCGCAAGGCGGGTCTCGCTTTTTTTGTATGTGATGCAGCTGCTGCACTTGCCTATCTTGCTGCTGCTGCTGCTGCTGCTGCTGCAGGAGGCGCAGTGTTGGGTCACCTCCTCCTCCAGCAGGATGACGGCATCCTTCAAACTCAGAAAACCACTGTGGTGTAGCGACTCGCAGGTCAAGTACAGACACCTCGTGCTGCTGCTGCTGCTGCTGCTGCTGCTGCAGATCGTTGCAGCAGCAGGTGCGCCCACTCCTGCTGCGGCGGCTTCTGCCGCTGCTGCTGGAAGTGGCAATGCCGATCCACGGCCTGCATCACGAGAGAGAACAGAAGCGGGCAGTAGCCGCTCTTCTCCTCGACTGGTGTTGTTGCTGCTGCTGCTGCAGCTGCTGCTTCGGCTTCTGCTGTTGGCTGCGTTGCGGCTGCTGCTGCTGCTGCTGGTGACCTTTTTAATAAGCACCCGTCTGAGCAGCCGAGGCAGCAGTAAGGAGAGTATAGGCGGCAGAAGCAGACCACCCAACAGGAAGAATGCCAGAGAGAGCAACGGCGGCAGCAGCAGGTGCAGCAGCAACTGCTGCTGCATGGTGCTGCCTGCCATTGCAGCTGCAGGGATGAATGTCTGGGCTATACGTGGCGCTGGTGCTGCTGGATTCGGCCTGAACCCTTCCAGAAGCTCTACTGCTGCTGCTGAGCAGCAGCAGCTGCTGCTGCAGCTGCTGCTCTCGCTGCTGCAGCCAGACCACCTGCTGCTGATGCTCCTTGTGCTGCTCCTACTGCCGCCCGGGCAGTTGAGTGAAGAGAGGAGACCAAGAAGAGCTCCATACCCCCCCTGTTAAGGCCCCTCCTGTGAAGCAGACATGATCGCTGGTGGTTTGCTGCTGCTGCTGCTGCTGCTGCTGCTGTTGCTGCTGCTAGCTCTGCTCTGAGTTGAACAAGAGCTGGGCCCTGCGTGTATGGTGCTCGGCGTGCTGAGTCGCCACTACTTGTCGAGCTGCTGCATACCTATTTGGGTGCACACCCGATATATACACGTTACACTCAATGCTTAACTCGTATAGTATCCTTATTGTATCAAAAGGCCGTCTCTCGCTATGTCCCTGTCAATCCCCCTGAAAAGAGGAAGAGGGCTGCTACGATGATTATACCCTTGCTGACCCCTCGCGGGTCAACGCACAAATAATTCATTCTTATAAATAAATAAATTCATATTAGACAGGATATATGGCTAGCAAGCCAGGACTGCTCTGCAGCCCCAGATCCTGGTAGCTGCAGAGCACTCCTCGCTCGCTAGCCTTATCTCCTGTCTAATGTAAGTTTATTTAATAATAATAACGAAATATTTGTGATATTTATACTGCTGAATACACCTCTAGGGGGCCAATTTCAGTACCATTGTAGTGCGCAAGCACTCTAATGCCATAGTTTCTTAAGTCCACTGCAGCTCATGAGTGGTCCGGCCTCACTCGCTACTGCTACCATCTCCTGCAGTGGCTGTGTCTGCTGTGCTAACCAGTGGTCTTCTGCTGGTCACCCTGGTGTGCCTTGGCAGTGGGTTGCAGGCTCCCCTGCGGGGGGTCCTCATCGGGATCGGTACATAATAGAGGCTCTCAGTTCCCTGGCCCCTGCCTGCACTACCCCGCAGGCCTTCTGTTGATATATGCACTCACCTCTGCTACTTCCGTTTCCCTTGCTTCATGTCCCTGATCCATGTGTGTTAGTGCCACTTTATTCGTCCCAGGCCCCCTTGTAGATAGCCTCATCGTCTGTCTATGAGAATCTCTTCACTGCTTTCTCTTACTACCAGTGTACCTGCAACTGCCCAGATTCTGCTCGGAACTAGTTTCTGCATTTTTTTGTTTATCTATACCGCTACACCCTCATGCACTTTGCTCTCGTATGGAAGGTGCATAAAGACGAACGTTGATTGCCTCCTAGGCTGACCTGTATGTACGTACACAATCATAACCCAACCGCGCTCAGTGTGAGTTAACTAGCACTGTCTCCAGTGTTGCGTGACCAGTGGCTTAGTGCAATCAGTCAGTAAACTTTTTTTCTGGCTTTTGCATTGGGGACTCGATGCAAGCATCGGCCTGCAGTTGCCTCTCTTCCTTGATATTTCCTTTCCGCTGGATTGGGACTCTGGCCGTCAACCACTTTCTATCTCATCTCTTTTATACTCTTAGTTAGACGTGACCTCTCCTTTCTTTAGTCTCAAAAAGAACTCTATTGTACTAGGTATATATCACTAGGGATTGGGTGGCATTATTAAATGTTTATATAAATGCACTCCGTTTGTTCGCTGAGGTTCCTTTATACTACTAGAAGCAATTGTTAATAGCCAGTAGGTACTTGTTGCTTGCTGCCGGTAACCACGCTGGGTTACCGACAGCAAACGCCGCGGCCTGCCTCTTGGGATCAGCGTAGGTTTCTTGGTACTAATTCTCTTGCGTGATATGGCTCTGCGGCCGATCGCAGACTTGGAGAAAGAGCTTAGTTACGGGGGGAGTGATTGTGGTACTCAGGGCACCCACCATATCAAGCTCCAGAAGTTCCACGGCGACGAGAGGGTTCTCGCCAGAGATGAGCTCAAAGGGCTACCGTTCAGTGGGGGAGCGGCTGGTTGTATTGCAAGCTAACTACAGTACAGGAATTAGTTGCCCTCACTCACGCTCGTCAGGTTGGATTTATGGATTTATCTTTGATGATATGTTATTTATGCTCATGCACAACAATGCCCTATTGCTGTTTCTTTATTGGAGAGATGAGGAAGGCCTGGAGATTCAATATCCATAGGCTCCATATCTGCGCCATCACCAATGTGTTTTCCTTTGTTCTCGGTGATGGCATTGAAAATATCTCTTCTGCCCGTTTAGATGCGCAAGTAGCCAAGCATCTCAGCGGATCCCATCGGCTGAGATACTGTTGTTTATTGCTGCGAAGCAATAAACAACAGCATCTCAGCCGAATGATGCAGAACCTCCGAGTCAACCGAAAGCTTCTGCTTACCAACTACTGATATTTCTCGGCGTAGCGCTGTATCGACAGATTCCCTTGCAAGCTTTCCTAATTCTACCGTAACAGGTTCCCTTTGCTATCTGGGAGTAAATGTACATCGCAACGCGTCTCGCAAAGCATCCATACACCATCACCCACATTTCTTCCCTTTTAGTAACGAAGATGCCAATAGCAACTGTAGTTCTCCGTGTGCGTTTTAGACATCAATGTATATCTCCAGACAAAACAGAACTTTCCACTGCTCCCGCCCCGTGTCGCCCGTAGCATCTGGACGGAAGGCATTGGTGTATGCATTTCTCATGAACTGTTTTCGCAGCAAAAGCATTTGGGCCGATGGGCTGCAGGTGCCGCGTTCGTTCCAGTGCTGGAAGGCGCGTGGCCGTTAGTTGCCTTCCTGGCGACCAGATTCGGATCATTCTCCATTACTCGGGAGGGGGTGGCTACGAGCTTGACAAGGATTTTCCGGGGGATATCTGGGAATGTTTTTGCTTGTGTTTCCGCAAGCAGCCTTCACAACTAATCGATGCGGTACACGAGAGGAAGCACAGCTGTGGGGGCGCGAATTGTGTTGGTAGCTTGCGCCTGCCTCTCTGGAGCATGTAGCGCCACCAAGTGCAATTAGAACCGTCGGCTGTCACGGGCCTTCTCGATCTTTTCTGAAGACGGCTGTGACCCGAAGTAGAGTGAAACGCCTAATATAAGAATTTCCGAAACGCTTTTGACTCCCTCTCCACTACCAAGGTGGCCTAGTGGCGGCGGCCCAGAGGTGTGAGGATTGGAGGGGAGGAGGTTGCGGGGCAAGAGTTGCAGTACACAACGTTGCAACACGTGCTACACGGCATCCTGAGATTCAAGCAGCATATGAACCCGCTTGTATGCATGCGACAACACTCTAGACAACTGTGCAATACTCTCGTGGATCTTGCTAAGCAGCTTGCACGTAAGTACAAGCGGATGTGCCATATTCGGGCAGACCATGCAGCACCGATCTTAGCAGAGGAGAGTCACGAGCTGCACTTAGAGTTAAAATACTCGTGAAAGGAGTCCCCCAAAACAGTTGACATCCACTCCAGTCTCTAGGGGCCCTGGGTACAGCAGAAAGGGGAGATCGCTTGTCTGGTGAGGAGGCGACCTGTCACGGATTCACAGTTGCACATCCGGCTCCGACCCTTGCTGCTAGGCAGCCCAGCGTGCCCAACCCCTCTTCTGGTTCATGCAACAGCACTGTAGATAGTTGTTGAACATCTACGTAACCCCCAGGAGCGAAGGAGTATGCAAGTTATAGTATACGTACCAATTCGAGGCATGGCAGGCTGTGCATGCCCTGCCCGTTAGCCTCCACTGCTAACTAGCTTACTAACTAAGCGTGGAGGTGGCGCATGGGCCACGTAAGTAGAGACACGTGTATTACTGCAGGCGAATGTAGCATGGGATGCTGTTGCAGCGAATCTACAGGGCAGAGTGCACGTGACTCTGAAGTGGTGCTAAGGTACGAAGTACGGGGGTGCAGCAGACAGTGGCAACCGCAGCCGTAAGGTTGGTACGGCGTTAATGCAAAATAAAACAAACTAAGTAAGTATAATAAATATGCAAAAATGGAGCATGCTGGGGGCCGATGTCTTTGGTGCCTCGGCCGCTTAACAGCGACGGCATGTCACCAGCTGTAGTGCCGGGCACTACAGTGTTGAGCCGGAAGGGCACATTGAGTTCATGTATTAAACGAGGAAACCTTAGTTTATAGCGGTTTCCGGGCACAGGATAGGCATTTAATGCGCTGTGATTGGGCCCAGGGTCAGGGCTGGCAGCGACACAGCCGGCACCGAGGATATTCGTACACTGGAGAACAACAGACAGATCTTTCTTTTTGGAGAACTATTGTTCTTAAGAATGAGGTTTTATGCTTTTTAGTGTATGAATATGTGGCTTACTGGGTAGAGACAGGAATTTATCTGCTGTAGTCAGTTAGGGAATCACATGTAGGAGCCGAGCTGGGCTTAGCTCACTACACCAGCAGCTGCCCCTTGCGGTGCCCCACAGCAGTTGGGGGTGGACCGAGGGACTTAAGCATACATCAAACCTACTTTGCTGCTGCTTTCTCCTTTTTTTTCTTTTGCTACTTCTCTCTTTGCCCTGAGCAGCAGACTGGGGCCCTCTTTGAGGCGTGACTCCCCGCACCAGCACCCGCCCGAGCTGGCCCTGTGGTGTGGCCCCACTCTGCAGTGGCACTTGTGTCCTTCCTCTACTGTCCTTTCTCTTCTGTAGATCTGTGGGCTGCTTCTCTGCACAACCTGTTGTGAAACGAAGATGTACTTCAGCAGCTTTCCCTTTGGGGAAGACATACCAGGCCACGGCAGGCCCAGGGGGCCGCCAAAGGAACGGAACACAACCAAATTCTACGAGTTGCTCGAAGTCGATAAAAATGCCTCCGTACAAGGTCAGCCTTCTTTAACGCATATTCGTCATGACCGCCTGCGTCTCTGCTGCGGCAGTAGCTACAGCAGTGGCAGCAGCCGCGGTGGCGCCGGAGAAGCAGCGCCACCGGTAGTGGCTCGTGATGCACTGCAGTTGCAGCTACGCTCCGTGCTGCTTCTCTCTGCATTTGCATTGCATGTGGATCACGCGCGTGTTTGAATTGGCGGTAGCAGCAGTTAAGGGAACGATAGCGGCAGCCGCCTTTGCCAAAGCCCCAAAAAGGAGGGTAGAATGCCGTACATGTTAACGCATCGGAGCTCGTGGCTTGGGTGTACATACAGCAGAAAGAAAAAGGAAATTTGTACCTTGCTTGTCGCCCCATTGCGACCGTGGATGTGATGCTTCGACGTTTTTGGTGTATCGTTGCCGCAGCTGGTAAGGCATTCATAGGTGCGTGCTTTGTTTCTCCCTCCGCATGTTTGCTGCAGACATCAAGAAGGCATACCGCAAGCTGGCCATTAAACACCATCCAGACAAGGGAGGAGACCCCGAGAAGTTCAAGGAGATATCGAGGGCGTGAGCAATACCCGCAGCTCTGCTTTTCAGAGCCCACATGTGCCACGTGAATGCACGTTTGTTCTCTTTCGATATTTCTGGCGTCGATACTGTTTGCTCCCGCGGTGTATGAGTTCCAGATTCTTTGCTGAAGTCGGCGAGATGCGGAATGCTGATCAGCAGCAGCACCGAACGACATCCACACGCAGAGGAGGCAAACGTTCACCTATATAAGTCCTGCTATTGTGATTGTTGCACGGTTTTGTGGCTGCAGCTATGAAGTGTTGAGCGACCCGGAGAAGAAGAGCATTTATGATGAGCTTGGCGAGGAGGGGCTTGAGGGAGGAGGTGCTGAGACGGATCCCTCAGACATTTTTGATTTGTTTTTTGGGGGCAGGAGACCAGGCAGACAGCAGAGCAAGAAGAAGGGCGAGGACATCGTCAGCCCCATCAAAGTCACTCTTGAACAGGTTATTAACCACACGTTACGCCGTGACTAAACCCGACGCAGCCACAAACACGAAACGCACCAGTGCAGCAAGCAGCTGCATTGGAGTGCCCACCTTCTCCTAGCCTATTCAGAACTTTCCTATAAGGTGAGTAGCGCCATGTTGTTTATTGTCTGATTGCAGATATACAATGGGGCCCCTCGCCGCATGGCGATCAACAAGGATGTAATTTGCAAGGACTGCGAGGGGAGGGGAGGACCTGCGGATGCTTTTATAACCTGTAAGGAGTGTGACGGCTCCGGTGTGAAGGTTATGGTAAGTCAGTTCGTTTGCGTTTTCGTCGATCACTCTCCTTGCGCTGCGTATGTTGCATGCATGCAGTAGAGTTGTTGATCTGCATATGGGTCTAGCTGTGGGCTGTTTCCCAGAAGTTCCTGTCTTTTTGTTCTTCGTCTCTTTCACCGAGTTCAGTGGGATGGAGTGTATAGCTGCGGAGCGAGCGGCGTGTGGGGCACAAAGGTGCACAATGTTTGTCCTTTGGGGGCTTTTGTCTGCAGATCCGACACCTTGGGCCTATGATTCAGCAAACACAGGGGATTTGCACGAGTTGCAAAGGCCAGGGTCGCAGCATTGAAGCCTCAAAGCGCTGCAAGACGTGCGGCGGGAAGGGAGTTTGCAAGGAGAGGAAGATCCTCCAGATCTTCATCGAGAAGGGTAAGTTAGTTGCTCTTCCTCTCTCTGATAAATTTGTTGTTTTTCGTGCAAGTGTGAATAGAGGCCTGAGCGCCCTTCTCTGTGAGCTAAGACTTGGGGGGATATTATTATGCTCGAGATATATATTCTGTATGTTTCTCCGTTTTTCTGATCGTTTTTCTTGCAGGTGTGAAGAATCATCATAAGATCGTCTTTAGAGGAGAAGCCGACGAACGGCCTGGGGAGATCCCAGGAGACGTTGTTCTTGTTGTGGAGCAACAGGCAAGTAGTGCACACGAGCATTTGAGCTGTGTTTGACTTTTTACTTGAGACTTTGCCCGCTGAGACGCGGATGAGTGGCAGTCGATACGACCAGAAAACGGGAGAGCTCATGGGTTGATGCAGAGTTTACAGAACCTAGTTTCTGGGAATCCTGTTCTCGTCTTCAGGAACACACAATGTTCAAGCGTCGTGGGAACGACCTGTTCATGACCAAGAAGATTACCTTGTACGAAGCTCTCTGTGGATTCAAGTTCCTGCTGACGCATATGGACGGTCGTCAGTTGCTTATACAGGTTAGTCTTTCTCTCCCCTTTCCTTTTTTTTTTCGAGATGCAGCCAGCTAGTAGTTAGTAGATGTTGTTGTCCGCGAGCCTGAATTGGCGTTTTTCTTTTAAGTCCAAGATATACGCTGCCGCGGCTCGCGAAAACTGACTGGGCTTCCCAAGATCCACTGCTCCGCAAAGTGACTACGGACAGTGGGGGTCTTTCGCTGCCGTGGAGGCAGAAGTGGCCTACAAGAAATTGCGTCTTGTGTAATTGTTCCTCACAGTTCATATTGTTCTTGACAGCTATACCTCCTCACACATATGGAGTTCTATGCATGGCGCTTTGCGCTACTTCGGTTGCAGGGCCAACAAATGTTCCTTGGACAGCGTTGTGCTATGTTGGTTCGTGTATCCTTCTATTTTACCGTGGTTATTTGAGTAATGGGGAGTCTCTAACGTTAAGGCTCGAAGGAACTGTGTGTGTTATATCTGCTCAGGGCAGTCCTGGAGAGGTTGTGAAGCCCGACGCCGTGATGTGCGTGAAGGGCGAGGGCATGCCGAACCACAAGAATCCATTTATCCACGGTAAGAACGCGCGTCTGCTTATTGCGCGCATGCATACCTGTGCATGCATCATGCACTACGTGCTCTCGAGAAGTGGGGCTTCTGACCCACAATTTTTTGGTGTATGTGCTTCCATTGCTTGCTCTGCAGGAGAGCTGTATATCGTCTTCGACGTCGAATTCCCTCAGAAGGTGCCGGAGTCGTTGCACGCCAAGTTCCGCGAGATTCTTCCGCAGCCGGAGTGCACCCCCATGGTACGGACAGGCACACCAACACGCCCGCGAGCACAGCTTTGTAGCCAGAGACCCCCCCCTCGTGTGTTGCTTCTTGCTGAAGAGGAAGTTTTCGATGCTGCAGCTCGATAGCGGAAAGTTTCAGAAGCGGCGCACATACATTGTTTGATGCTGTTTCGTCGTTGCCGTTGTGCTCAGGTTGATGAGGACGACCCGAAGATTGAGCATCACGTCTGTGAGAGCGTAACTGCAGAGGAGCTGCGGGCCCGGCAGCAACAGCAAAAGACCCAGGGTTCAGGGGAGGCGTATGAAGAGGATGAAGACGAGGGTGCCCACGCAGGAGGCCCGCAGAGGGTGCAATGCCGGCAGCAGTAGAGGCCTCCGAATGCAGCCAGCTTGAATCACAGCTTACAGACTCGTGTTGACTTGAGTTTGGTTGGTGGTACTTATGTAGTGCTCCGCGTTCAGTTACAGCCACTGCGGAACAGGAGCAAAAGTATGTGGAGGTCATTTTGGTGTAGTTGCTGTGGTGGACGAGGGCTCCGGGCGGAGTGGATGCCGCACAGGGGTCCCAGCTTCTTCGGTAGTTACCGATGTGGCTGCTGTAGCAGCAGACGCCTGCATTTGTGTTGCCGCCGTGCTGCTGCTCTCAAATGCGGGTAGCATCAAAACAGTTGGCGTTGCATAGTGGTAAAAGTCCGGAACCGCCTCGCTTTCGGAGCTTCTGCCTGAATAGACGTTCATTTTCGCCCGCTGAGTTTATATATTATATATTAACAGTACTTTTCTGCTTACTCTGTTTGGGTTTAGCTTGCGACCCTCTGCAGCTGTGAGAGAGTGGACGTAGCTGTGCACGAGTCACCGCAGGGTCTTCTGCTCGTTCAAATGAAAGTTTACACGAACAACCGCTTGGCGGTGCTGTGAAACAGCTGCCTCGCAGCGCGAACTCGACGCAAAAAAGAAGCCGACACAAACGGATCCGAGCGGTGTAGTACGCAATGCATCCAAAAGTGCCACCCAGTTAGCTAGCATGAAGCTTAAATAACCCTTCATGGTGTCTTCTGAGACTTGAAAAACGAGGGAAGGTGGAACCTGCGCGGTCTGACGCGGTGCAGTGTAATACTAGATGTAATCCAATATAGCATTGCTTTGCTACAAGGAGAGGCGCTGCTGTTCCGTAGTGTTTTGGCAGTAGCAGTTGCTAAACCCTCTAGTGCAGGGGAAAGATGACGGCAGTGAAATTTGCGTTCTACTGCAGTGGAGCAGTCGGTGTGCTGCTGCCAGCCGATCTTACTGAGACTAAGTGAATAACAAGCAAACACGAATTCATGAACGCACCAAGCAATTTGACAGCCTCCTAGAATCGGATTCACGCCTATTGTAGCCCGTTAACAAGGAATCGACGGAGTGATATGTGTGTAGCATAAAGTTTTGCGGGAGGAGTTGGCTGCGGAATCCGTAAGGTAAGGTAGTTGCATTATATGTAACACTATCATCTATAAAAGTGGTGCCAAAACAAGGGGTGCCTTCCATTCAGTTACCCTGAGGCTTAAGAAGATCAACGCACGGGAGCATTACAGTTCCAGCAGCAGCGGAGAGCCGATTCTGCGGTGACACGTTCCGCACGTTCGTGCTGGGCAAAATTATAGGCTGAGCATTTCCACGGGTGCAGGCACACGTTTTGCCAAAAGGGAGAAAAGAGACTGCGCCAGTCTGCAAGAGACGTGCCTCCTGTATCCGTGGTTCTTCCTGCCCCTAAATTTGGCTACCCCTACAGGTCAACTGCCTCCTGGGGATGTTAGCTTGTAAGCTCCTGCTGGTAAAGCTCTCCTTGGAAGAGACGACGGTGAGAGCGGAAATAATACGGTCCCCTTCAGGTTCCTCCACGGGCTCACGATTGTGTTCCCTCACCCAATGGAGCACGAGGAGGAAGCATCCACGAAGTCGAGGTAGAACGTACTCAGTGCACTATTGCCTATATATCTGCACTAGGCTCTGCACTCTCCAACGAACCAAAGGTGAACCTGCAGTAGCGAATTCCTGGCAACGTGCCCTTACGAAACACTCAGTGGAGCGCTGGAGCTTCCTGTTTCGACTTCAGCATCATGTTAGCCGTTCAATAGCGTAGTTTTAAGCCAAACCAACTTTACTGTGGATGGGCGCAGTTGAGGCCTCGCCGTTGTCTTGTACCTCAGTTTCGAAACAGGAGCTGATACGCCGCGTCCGTAGTTCCGCTACTAAGTAGACACTAGTAAGTTGACACGGGACGAGGAGAAAACAGACTTCCAAGTGGCTCCTTGCGATGTTTAAAGCGTTTCTGCCCTTCTAGAGCTGCTTCTCGTCAAGAAAAAGCAAACGATCTGTCAGCTCCCGCGTCGGCGCCAATACACAGCAGAAGAATACGTCCTAACAGTCTCACTGAGTTGCAACAAGGAGGATAACTGCCATAACCTAATACCAACAGTGGGATGTTCTGCTACTACCTGCAACGCTCCAGATTCCCCTTCACCTAAAAGCAACGAAGGCTCTCAAAGCTGTTACCTACAGGATCTTTCAGATTTTCGCGAGGGGTTCTAGCATCCACGGCAGCTGCATGTAGACACATAAATCCACACTGCATCCCTATACAGCTAGACAAACGTGCTGTCAAATGTCAACAACGGAGTTCTAAATACTCATCAAATGCATGTGAATGCAAGCAAGTGGCGCAAAAGGGCCTGCGGAGTTGCGCCTTAGTTTTTCTTTCCCTCGATACAAATGAGAAGGAACCAACTAAGCTAAACCAGTCTAACGCTGTATGCCCTCCCTTGTGTCATCTCCTGTGCTTTCGGGAGGATTTCGAGTCGTATTTGCTGCTGCTCCTTGCCGCTTTGGTCTTTTCTTTGTGCTCATCGTCTCTGGAGCGGGATTTCTTCTTTGCCTTTTCGTGAGAAGATGACTCCTTTGGAGCTGCGGGCGAGGCGTCATTCTTTGCTGCTGGCGCTGTTACTGCTACATCTTCGGTTGCTTTCTCCTGTTCTAAGCCTTCATCTGCGGACTCCCCTGCCTCTTGTTCGTCTTCAGACTCTCCGTCACTGTTTTGGCTGCCCGCCTCTTCTTCCCCACTTTCTTCTACTCCGCTGCCACTGTTGCTGCTTCTGCTGCTTCTGCTGCCGCTTCCGCTGCCGCTTTCGCTGCCGCTCTCACTGCCGCTTTCGCTGCCGCTCTCACTGCGGCTCTCACTGCGGCTCTCACTGGCGTTGCCGCTTTCCACTACGGACTCCGCCTCGTTCATCTCTTGATTATTTTTTGGTTCAGCCCCGTTCACAGCCTCCTCGCCACCAGCTGTTTTTGGCTTTGTGTCCTCTCCTACCGTTTCTCCTGATACGAGCTTATCTGAAACAGGCAAAGGCTCCTTTCGCTTGGAGGAGCGACGCTCATCTTTTCGGCCACTTGAGCTGCGGCTGCCGCTGCTGCTGCGGCTTTTGCTTCTGCTGCGGCTTTGACTCTTCTTTCGCGTGTCAACGCCTTCGCGACTGTCACGTCTGCCGCTCTTCCTGCCTCGCCTGCTGCTGGTGTGTCTTTTCTCCACTCTGTCCCTCGATGATCTTCTCAACTTGGTGCTCGAATGCTTGTGGCTATGCTTCTTGTGTCTGCTGCTGCGCCTGTCTACAGAGGAGCTGGCGCTTCTGTGCCGCCTCTTCTTGCTTAATCTTGAATGTTTTGTGTCTCTGCCTCTCCTTCTGTCTGGGGTAGGGCTGCTGGTACGATCTCGGTGTGAACGTTTCACCCGGGAGTTTCTGCGCCTCCTTGTGCTGTTGTGGCGGCGGCTGACAACGCTGCTGCTGCGACTGCGGCTGGTACTGGGGCTGCTGCTGCGGCCCCTCCTGCTCCTGTGCCTGCTGTGGTGCTCGCTCTTGCGACGCCTGCTGCCACCGCTGGATTTCCTTCTTCTCCTGAGGCTTCTGCTACGGCTGCGGGTTCTGCTTCTGCTGCGGCTGCTACTGTAACTGGAACGTCGCCTGCGGCCTCTGTAATACCTATCATCAGGGCTCCTGCCTCTTTCTCGGCTTCTGAATCGCCTCCGTAACACAGACGGGGTCGAACGTGACCTTCTTCTGGGCTCTGGGCTTCGGTCGTAGAAGCGTTTCCGCTCGCTGCATTGAAAAAAGAGCAATAAAAACAGCGTTTACTAAACAAAACACCAGAGTAAAAAGAGCTTATCAACCCTAAATGTGCTTTCAACACAAACATCCAGTCCTGAACATCGCCCCAGCGCGCTCACAGCCCGCTACAGGTACTTACCCACCCGCGACAGCTCGCCCGCGCATCGTTTGGCTGCAACTGAGACAAGGCAACTTGCATGCCGATGTCGCAACATTAGAACTGCCATCCGGCCAAACACGCTGTCTACGAGGCTGACTGCCACTGGAACTCTCACAAACCATAACCATACGTAGATTAACGCCATATTTCACTGTACTACGACCCGTTTTCTTCCTTCCAACTCTAAATAACGGAGGGTGTGCACTTTGTCCACGAGGGACTATGCCCCCGCTTTGCCGTTCTCCTTACTGTACTTGTTCAGGTTTCAGTTCGGTTCGTTTGAGTTGGAATGGTAGCAAACGACGCTTTAAATTCTAAACTCACGTAACTTCCTCGTAGTTTCGCTGCTTTTTCTCTTATTGGATAGAGTATTTGGTTTTCGATGTTCTGTTTAGTATAGTGCAAGCGCATGGCTCGCATATGGGACTGCAGTAGTAACTTTGTCTTCTGCGTTACTTCTATCCGTCAGTGCATATTTGTCGATATGTCTGCTTATTTCGTCTGCTCGTCTGCTCGTCTGTCTGGACTTTTCTTTTCCGCCATACTAACGTCTGTTGGTTGCAACACTGTGATGTGTTCGTTCGGTAAGTGCTCCGGGTTTCTGCTACTTACTACTCTTCATCTCTCCTCTCATAAATGACGCGCTGCGGCACAAACAGCAGGAAAAGCTCCCCATGTCTGGCGATGAGTGTTAGATTATGAAACTTCACATCGGCTGAAACTAGGGGAAAACGACTGCTGCATAGCTTGCGCACATGGACAACGGACTAGCGCATTCGAAAGAATCAATTACATATCGTTGAACAATTTGCGGCAATTCAATATATTTACCATTTGTTCTGGGGTCTTCGGATCGCTGTTCGCCAGTTGAACTGTCACTCGGACACCCATGAACATTTGGTTGTTCAACTCCTTCATCGCCCTCTCCCCGTCTGCCTCTTTTTCATAATCGAAGAAGCAATACGAACTGAAGAAACAAACAGAAGACACGAAACAACTCCCCCGCACGTCTTCCCGAACCTACCTTGAGTCTGTGCGCCTCCTGAATTTGCGAAACCAGTTCGCACCGACAAAACATCATTGTAAGTGCAAATAATAAAGAAAGGAAGACCTACCGAGGAGTGCGTTCCAAATGATGAACAGGCAAATACATTTCCTTGACCTGGCCAATCTTTGATAAAAAGTTACGGACGTCGCTGGGAGTGGCTCCTGGGGCGACGCCTCTGAGCATATATGGGAACCTCCGCATACTCCTAGCAGTTTTTGCATTTTCCACCATCCACAGTTCCCCCGCCCGCATAGGGGAAACCCTGTCCACCATTGTGAACGTTTTGTCTTCAGATTTACGTGCAGGGGAGTTCGCAGGAGTCACGGAACTCGCTCTGCTCCGCGACACAGAGACGGACAACCCGCGCCCTTGGGGCGGCGGCTTGGTGGAGAATTGCATCAGAAATCAAGATTACAACGCCCTTCCCCCCCCTCTCAGGGTGTAGCGGCTGAGGGGAGGCTTAAAACAGCGGCCGCAAATACACAATAAGTGCAAGCACCGCAAAAAAAATAAACACTACAGGCACACGCCGATCAGGGAAGAAGACAGAACGGCCCAGAGGATACGAGGACGCATCGCCCTGAGCCCAAGGTCCTGCCCGTTCAGCAGCTTTAATCGAGGTGGAAACAGGAGGTTCTTCGCCTTATTTTCCATTCAGAAATACCCATTGAGCCATAGCATTTCCGCCTGTGATGGAAAACAAAGCCTGAAAAAAAACCGACGGTAGAAAGTTCGGCCGTCAAACCTCCACAGGCTTTCTCGCAGCCCCGCGTTCTGCTCGCATGCAGAACCTGCGGAGGCCATAAAAGATCTAAACCTGTTGCTCTGAATGTAAAAAGTAAGTAAATGATCACATATTTATAGACATCTTATATTCCCAACACAGTTTGAACACCGACTGCACGACGCGCTTGCCTTGCCGATGTGCTCGCCGGAGTTTGGGGGCAGCGGACCGCCTGCTCTGTCCCAGTCGGCCTTGAGTGGGCAGATGGGAACGTTGTAAATACGTACACCACTTTTCATTTATGTATGGTTTATATGTAACGTACATTTCTAGTCTCCGCCGATGATTCTCGTAAGCCGCAATAGAGTCAAAATACTGAAGATGTGAGCTCACGAAGGGCAAAGCGCCCCCCAACAAGCATACCGGCAACATGAGCACGGTGGCGCAAAGGCGCGTGTGTGGTGGAACAATTCGCTCATACTCTAAGGCCTTTGCCGGAAGCAGTAGAGTTAAAACACATAGGATAGGAGTTACGCCGCTTATTCCCAGACCTCCCAAACTAGAGTGGGGGCCGTAACAGACAGGTGTTACATCGTGTTTGTACACATTGACCACTCGGTGCGAAGCCAATCAGCCATGCTATGCCTCTGTGCTTAGTGTGGCTGCAGCAAGAGGGGGTACCGGCGACCTTGGTCGTTGCTTTGCTCGAAGTGTTCTGCCTCCACGGTAGCTCTAGGCGGCTAGGACCCTCATTGCGGGCGCAACCTGCACTGTGGTGGGGTATCCTCTGCAGCTACAGTTCGTGAAGCAAAGACAACCCTGCAAGCAGCCTTCCCCACGACGCTTTGTTATGCATACCATGACGTCATCAGTAACTGTTCAAGGCCCAAGTGGCTAAAGGTGCAGATATTCTCAGAGGCATCGATACGTGTAGCTATTGCTAAAATAGCCTGCCACACTATGGCTAGCGAACGAATGCTCGTCGACTGCTAAGCGTCCCTCAGCGCAGGGAGGCCACCATTCTCTGAGCGAAGGCTTCCCAATGTCTTGGTAGGTTGGTTCCCTGCGCCGCATTGTCATCATGCGTTCCATCCCCCAGGAGCGGTAGTTTGCTGCATACGAGGGATCTTGTTTTGAACTGTTACTTTAATAGGTGCCTGACTTCTTCGTATATGCCGAAGAAGTGAGGCTTCTAGAATATCTTAGTACACCGACGGACTTCAATGGCCCTCACGTCCATATGCAACCAAACAAGGCCTCGCAAGCCTATGAAAAACATACCTCCTGTGCGAAACGCACAGTTCGCAGCCCCCAAAATTTGTATGCGCAAGTGTTTGCATGAAAATAACTTACGCCCCTCCACACAGAGATGGCATCAAAGGAGTTTTTGCAGGCCAAGAACTGATGTTTGCCGGCTCATGCGTGCTGCGATGTAGAGTCCATCGTTTGACAAGGGCTAACAATGAAGGGTTCTCAGCTCATTTCTAGCCCACGCCGAATGTATAACCAAATGATTTCAGTCGGTGTCCTTCCCTTGTTGCAGCGCTATGGAAACTCAGCTCTGCCACTCAGCACCTACTGGTATAGTATGGGGTTAGATGGTGGTGCTAATAGCAGACTAATGGGGAGAGGCAACATGTTGAAACTGTTAGGCCGAATCAGGTGCTGAGAGTCCAACACGTGGGTGCCTTGGGACGCAGGACTTCCTCGCCGCTTGCGATTTCGAAATCTAGTTCACAGGAGGAGTGGCACGAAGCCGCAAAACTTCTTGAAATTCTAATGCTTCCTCTCGCACCGCATCCGACTCATCACGCAACAAAGTCTCCATCATTTGCTTCAGATCATCCTGCAGACCAAAACGAGAATTGCATACCCGACGCTCCGGTTGTCTTCTTTTACTATCATACGGTAAAACCATGGGAATATATGTAGTGGCGAATATGGGAAACACCTCACCACCAAGTCTGCTTGACTGCTCGCCTCTTTCTGAAGCAATCTGCCCAAGAGCTTGACCAGGGCCAATCTGCGTTGAACCATCCACATGCGAGGAAGGGCCTCAACTGCGCGAGCTGAATCCATCGTAAATGCAGTACTACTCGAGCACTAATGATGTATGCTCAGCGTGTACCCAGCAGCTGCGTGACACTACTTACCTGCAGCATGGCGCGGGGTCCTTCAGCAAGCTCTGTAACAATGGCAAGACTATGCTTCGAGCCCTTCCGTCCGGAAGATAGTCCCATATTTGCTGCAACAAGAAAAATACAGTCTTACTGTGAATGAAGAGCGGATTGAAACGTCGGAAAAGTGTGAGCTGAGTCGAGTATGGGGCAAGCTAGCCGCGCTCCTAGGTCCTGGTGGTCCTACATGCATATAGAATGCCACGTCTTGACGTATAAAGGCATTTTTACAAGAAGCCACCTGCTGAAGAGCATGGAAAAGGCGTTGCTCCAAAATAAACTCCACTTTTGGCATTGCTTGGCGTCGTTGGTATCCATCCTATCAAACATATCACCGTAGGTGATTCATACGCCGATGTGAAAGGGATCCGTTGTCCGCTCATGATGCGCATGCCACGGTGGATGAGCGAAACCCTGCCACTCACTGCGTAGCAAGCGACCTACTTCGGCTACAGATCGAAGGGCAAAGCCGGCCTCCTGGCGGACGGCCCACGCTGCAAGCACCACAAACCTTAATGCTGGGACACTGGAACAGTGCGAAGATTGCATTAAAGCAACTGCGCCATTTGGAAATACTACAGCATGTGAAGGACTTGCTATACGAGGGACGCTGAACCTCAGATGATTGCTTATGTGTCCAGTGGTGGCAAGCAACCAACAATACGGGTTCTGCACACATCCTGGAGAGGCGACAGGTGCCATCCTTACTTGGAGACAGGAGCAGACCAGTTATGCGTTCCCACAAAATGTCTTCTGTGTCTTCCTGAATACGGGGTCACAGGAATACGAGTAAAGCACAGGATAAAGTGACATCACGCTGGTGTCTAATTCCTGTCAATCAGCAAGTGTTGTTAAACTGCTGCTCAGTAAGAGGCGCTTACCAAAGTTCGAAGGAGCACAGGGAGCTGCTGAGCTAGGGCCGCTTGGACCCGCCAGCATTCTTCTCCATCTTCGTCAGTTGCAAATTCGCTGGTCAATATCAGGGGAGACTGCAAGCAACCAGGGGCAGAGCATTTGTCGCAAGACGGCGTAAACTGTGTCGGGCAGGAGATCCGCTGAGGCCAAGGCTGAGCACCTACAGTGATTCGCACTCACGACAAATGCAATGTCCGGAGGAGCGAGGGAACCCAAACATCCTAGAAAGGATACTTTTAGTTTCCAATTGCCTCGCCTGCAGAAGACGGCACGCATTAAAACACTGAAGAGTCCAATGCAAAAGTGAAGCAAGAACCTCCTAGTTTTCTCTTCAGCTAACGATCCCCTTCAATTCACTTTGGCATGCAGCAATTTAGCAAGACTCACTGAGCCAGATCCGTCGCTAGCTCCAGGAATACACGCCTCTGTGGAGCAGTGGAGAGTGGGAGGAGGGCAAGGACTGCATTCAGGCATGCGCCTGCAAAGACACGGAAAGCCAACCGTAGTGTGCAGAAAATTCAATGGCTATACGTTGGCTCTCCGCACGAACAGAAGGGAGCATACGATTCTTCACTTGCCACTAACACCACAAATGGGGTCCTAGGCACCTGGGAGTCGAGACCCTTGATTTTCACGGTTATCTTCAGCAATCTGGTTTAGCTCCAGCATCCAAGAATCTCCCATGAAGAAAGTATTCCCCAGGTTCTGAACAAAGCCGTAGTCAAGGCAACTCGTTCTGCAGTAACTCCGCAGCAAGTGCTGGCACTTCTTCAACTACTCGAGGCATTCAACATCAGCAAGGTGAGAAGTAGATACAACTCAAAACAAGGCCTGACGGCCGGACGTGAACTTCGGGTAGAATGCTGAAGGACTCAAGTACTTGCGCTATTCGTGGAAGAAGATGTAAAGCCGCCATTTTGACCATTGGCTGCAAGATACACGCAATGGAACGCACTAGCTGACAAGATCTACCGTTTGCTGTCTCAAGGAGCACTCATTACAACCAAGATCAACATGATGCTGGAGCATACTGCTCCCCTGGAAGTTGAGGTCCCTGGTTACAGTCGTGCACAGGAGCTCACAGAGCGATCAGTGAGGAATTTGAATAAGAACGCTGTCATGCTGGTAGTTCTTTCATCCGCTCTGCCGATCTCACTACCTTCACCAGCTGAAAGAGGTGCTGAATCGCAGGAGAGGAGAGCCAGATCTTCCAGTGCGAGGCAAACTGTTGCTCGAACCCTCCACGAGGAATCGCCTGCGCTCTCGCACAGCAACGGGATAAAGTCCACTGGATACAAAACGAGAAAAGCAGTTAACATCCTGCCCCTTTGCAGTGGAGCAGCAACCTGAATAACTGTCTCACCGCAAAGCAATGGAAAGAAGCTGCTGCCCACTGCCCTGAACGCTGCTGCGTTCCTCCGAGCCATTGCAGCAACGGCAGATACTCCTTGCATCCTGCAGCTTTCCTGCACAGAGCAGAGCAGCATTACATCAGTTGAATTGCCAAAAGGTAGATACAGAGAGGATGTGGCTTTTGAGTCGCTCATCTACACGAAGATCCCCCGAAGGCTATTCAAAAGCTCACATGGAGAGATAAGGTAAATTTTTGAGTGGCCGTATAAACGGCAATCATGAGTTCCCCGATCGCTCCGTCTGCGCCAGCCAAACCTCCGTCTTTCGCGCCATCAGCAACCTGCTGCGTTGAGAATCCTTGTTGCAGCATCTCCACTTCCGCCGCAACGTAATCCACAAAAAGCGGCAACTGCTGACCAGCTGCGAGCTGCACCGAGCAGTTCCTGTCCCCACAAAGCTCAACATAGGATGTGAACAGCCTTTGCTTGAGCTCCACCAACGTCTCGAGAACGTGTGAGTCCTCAGGCATTCCTTGCGCTCGCTGCTTTTCCAGGAGGTCTGTCCAGCAGCGGCGGGTGCAATGGAGTAGCGAGGGTATCACAATTGCAGCTGTTTGGCGGGCTGCGCTTTGCTTATCTTCGCAAAGCTCTAAAACCTGGAACGTCGCTTTGTTCCCGAGAAGCTCAGCGTGGTTGCAGGTTGAAAGCAGGGCGGTGAAGGCATGGAGTGCAGCCGTCTGAAGGTCTCTGTCTCTATGAAGCATGATTCGAAGCAACAGGCTTGAAATTATGCTCAGCCCCCCTGCCCAGACGTAAGGGCACTCATCACGGCCGTTCCTGGGATCTTCATTGCCATCAAAGAACCCCTTCAATTCGTTACAAAGAATCGCCAAGACATCATCGTTATCTTCGCCCTCCTCAAAGTCTGTACAGAGATGCACGCATTGCTTCAAAACCCTCCTAAAGTATCGCCACTGCTGGTCTCTAGGGCTGTTTTTCCAGAACGAGAATCCCACCGGACCTCCACCAACAATTCACTCCACGACTCATTGCACGCACAACTTTGAGACCTATGAACTCCCCTGGAGAGGCAGAGAGGCGATCACGCGAAGGTAAATACCCGCGTGACGGTTCAACATTAAGACGAGGGTAGCTCTTAATGCCAAGTGAAATATACAAAGCACGCTGCAGCCAACTCCTTACTGCCCTCAGCACGCAGCTCAGGCAGCACCTACGCGCTCCGAGTCCATAATGATAAACATGGCCAGAAACGAATCAGTCGAAAATGCCTTGTCTAGTCACTTGAAACCCAAAAGCTCTAATATAGTGACTAGATAAGGCATTTTCCAGAGGAATTTAGGCCAGCGATTCTCACCTTGAAGGAAAAGAAGGAACTCGTCGACCGACTTGCCAAGCGCGCGGAAAATGCGCGATATATTCCTGCAGCCGCGCTTCCTCACCTGAATAGCAGTCAACAAGTAGCAGCTCGGTTAGCTTGTGATGTGGGGCTTTGCCTGCTACCAGCAATTCAAGCGCCGAAAGTTTAGGTAACGTACCCTTGGTGAGTCGCTCAGAAAATCTCGGACGAAGGAGGCAGGGTCCGTAGAAATCTCATCCCCTTCAATCCCACTGATGGCGCTTTGCGCACTCTCCCGCTGCCCCACATTGGAAGTCAGTCGGTCTGCGAGGACGCTGTTTGCCTCATCGTCAGACTTGACGTGAGTGCACGGGGGATTGATAGCTCCTCGTCGGAACAACAAATCCTTGTAAATCCCGTGCCAATCCATGCTGGCCGATGCCATGTTGCTGTCCTTGGCCAATGCTGTCCTTGCGGCAGAACAGTGAGCTGCAACCGCCATCTTCGCGTCCCGCCTGTGCAGCTTGAAGTTCCGCTGCAGGAGAAGAGCAGCCTGTGGGAAGGCCCCTCAAGGAGCAGCGCGATTTTGGTCGGTTCGTCGCCCTCAACTGAACGACACACTTCGAGGGCCAGTCCCGCGATTGACCTCTATAAGGACTCCAAGGACATGGTCCGATAGTAGCCGGGCCTGGTCGGGTGATGTGTGTGCTAGCTCATGATGCTCACGTGCACAGGGGCAAAGTTAAAACTATGTTATCCCATGATTTAGCCGAAGCAGAGAGGGGGGGAGTTACTAGCTGTTTGTGTCTTCATCGTGAGTGCACACACAACTGCTCTAAATGGGCCATGCGGGACCCGTCTCGTTGCAAATCAAATTAAGCCCCTACACTCACTAAATACAGACATTCATGAAAAATTACGTTGCTTAACTTGTAGTTAGAGCGCGCTGAGCTGGGGCCACTCGGCCTCCTCCAGCCCCAAACACTGCCACCAATGCTGTAGTGTCCACGGTCCAACGGCTAGGCCGATACAGGTATTCTCGTTCATTAGCTGCTAAGTTCAAGGATCCTCCCCCAAGTTTGACTAGAAGAAGGGGGTAGGACAAGTAAATTAGAGTGTCTGTCTCCATAGCGAACCAAACTGGTACAACAGCACTGCGCGGACTGGTCTCTCAAAGAGGGGGGGACATCGGGACCGCCGAAAAGAACCACGCCACTCCTTTGCTCCAAAATAGTTCATAGGGAATATATTTCTGCCTGCGTGTGTTATTTATTTAACCGAACTAATAGCTACCTCGGGTTTGGTACATGTGCCGCGGCGGTCGCCGTGCTGACAGTCCGTTCATGTTCGTTCACACGTTTAACAACTAACTATACTCTAGGAAGGCTAAGTGGCGAACTAAACTTGTTATTATTCCCCATTCAGTAATTTAGGCACTTCTTGCTCCATACATTATTCGTGTTCGCCACCACAGTTAGAGAAGCGGCTACCAGCTGCTAGGGCTCTATGTGTACCCCCATAGAGCATACGATCTTGCAACAGCAAGCGACCAGCAACTAAAAAATATACTGCTGACGATGTACAACATACCACTTGTTGTCTTCCCTCTGGTCAAGACGATGCCGACATTCAGTGTGCACACTTTGGCGCACCGTGGTGTCTTGTGAATTTCTTCTCGACTACGAGCACGATGGCGACGCCGGCGCCACGCTCATACTAGATCCAGAGAACCTCGCAGATGAACTGCATGTTCCCAAATGAGTCATTCCTTGGGAGCAGCTTTCCACTTAACGGGATACTGCAGATGCTCACATTCAGCGCGTTCGTCCATGGTGCACTCTACATCATAACGGGCCTTTCGAGCCATAGCGAAGGGGTTGATAGAGGAAAATTAAATTGTATTTGTTGCTTGACGCGTTTCCACTCGGAGGTAAATAAATTGATTATTTGCGTTTGTTGTTCCTGGTGGCGCTGTAAATTGTCGGACTCACCCAACAGGAACATGCTTTATCAGGAAGGTAGCAGCGAGCACCAACTGTGGGGGAAACTAGAGCCACCTGCCATGGGCGAATGCTTCGGCAGAATTTCGGGAATTCTTGGAGTTTCTTGCATGCACCTCAGGAGGGCTGGAGCCCTTGATGCTGACGGTATGCACATCATTACCTGTTGGTTGGCGTCAAGTCCCCCCACACCGAGATTCCGGGTGTCCGCTGCGCAGTGGTTTCCACCACTGTCTTGTAATCCGCATGCTCAAAGTTAGGTAGTGCATTTAGCGTACTGAACTCCCCCCTGTTGTAGAATTTTACATGAAAAGGTCTTTTGAAGGATAATTTGGAACAATCCCACGCGGCTGGAGGGTCCTCAGAATCTGTACAAGCTCGTTTATCTCTTCACGGTCACTCTGTTGGATTGAAGTGGCTGAAGCGAAGATTGCTGCTGTCGGCGAGTACACAAGTGGGGAACTACGTGCCATACGACACTCAACATTCCAGTATCTGCAATCGGTAGGCCCGTTAGGCGGAGGGGCAACTACGGACAAGCGATGATACTGCATTGAGCCACCTTCTCTCCACTGTTCAGTCCAGTCACACGTAAACCGTCGTAAGAGAGAAGTTTCCCTCAACTTCAACGAGCATAAACGAATATATGCTACAGAGCGAGATATCTGTATTCAACTGTCAAACTCCTCTGTCAAGTAATATACAACCTTTCAATATCTGTACCAACCGGCGTGTGAAGAGCAGTACCTTTGAAGATCATAAAAGTTAAGTAACGTCAGAGGAAAGTCGGAAACATTGTTCTGCAGATGGCACTTAAACTAAGAGGCGAATCAGAATTTGATAAGCACACGGCATCGCCAGTACCGCAAATTCAGCTGCAGGCACGTGAGGTCGCAGCAACAAGAAGCTCAGGCAGCTTGAGCCCGTGCCTTAGTGCAGCCGTAATATACAGGAACTCTTCCTCTCTGCTGCAGGAAGGAGTATGACGCATCCAGTCCTACCGAACATTGGTAGTTCGCTTGGCACGTCGCGCCTACAGCGACTATCGGTCACAACAAATAGCTATGACTGCGCCTGAAACCTCCAAGCAAATGTGATAATTTGGCTAGCTGTGCTCAGTCAATCAGTAAAGTGTCTGTTGGCTGTGAGCCCCGTGTTGGCACACTAGGTCAACGTACTTCTTATAGCTATTTCGAAAAGTACGCCCTGCTATATAGAAGGACCTCGAAGTAAAGCAGTCGCTGCAACAGCGACGGGTGGCCCTGGACCTCCGTGTGCTGTCGCTGGAAGCGACAGTAACATAAAATCGCCATGGAGTCGTTCTCTGTGGGTATTATCCCGTCCTTCAACAAATTGCACCTTAACAGGAAAGATGTAGTTTGCTAACGCGGGGCTCGTAGCTTCGAGACACTCTGCGGATTCACCAGGCCCCACGGCCTGGCACAGCTGAGCTAATTTGCTTGAAAACACTAAAGTTTTCCACCAACATTAGCTTGTTGCTGGCTACGTGTTACGCACGTTGAAACTTCCTGTACATGAAGCCTCTTGAAAACTTCCTCCGTAGGGTCATTGCTCCTTGGGTACTTCCGAGTAGGAAACAAAAGCCAAGGCAAGTAATGCTATTCAGCATGCTAGGGACTTGGCTGTATTGAAGACCTAACCGTTGACTTTATGTTGCAATGCTGGATCCTCAGTTTAAAAGGGTAGCAACTTCAGACTCAGGCAAAGCCCTGACCCACACTGAGGCCCGTAAGCTATTTACGACCCCGCTGGGCGGGAACCTTTTGGAGTTCCGCCTTTGAAATGCTCTTTTGAGATGCTAAACGGCTGATCCACGGAAGTCCGTAGATTCGCATGCCTCTCGCCACAGCCTCCTTTTTCGAGCCATCGGCACCGAACTTGCTATCGGGAAGTTCAGAAGAGGTGAAGCGCTCGTGAGCCGTTTGTTCTATTTTGTGTCGTAGATTCCGTTTCGTTGAGAAGCGCGTTCGCCCCCCTTCCACAGACGAACTGGAGAGCGACTCCCTGAACAGCAGAGACAGACCATTTTCCGAAGTATAAGATTGTCTGTAGTCAACTAGCTGCACTCGCTCAGTGTACTAACAAACCAACGGTGGAATGAGAGGTAAATTTGTCTTCTAAAACTCGCATCCATCACCATGTTTTCAACTGACTAGTTGTTTTGCATGGGTACACCGGGTACACCGGAGGCGACTCACAACGCAGAACAAATTTGTGTCTGAGCACCTGCCACCTCCGTTAAAAATCTCTTTGTTAGGTCCACCTTCTGTTGATCCGTCAGAATTTCGTCTACAGCAGCAATCGTCCCTACTCCTAACGAAGTGCAAAAGCGCAAACGCACTTGCGCAACTACAAAAGTCAGCCCTAAAATTGTACTGAGGGAAGATACGTTCTGTAGTCTAAACTGCTCTTCTTGTCAGTTCATTTGGGTCTTCAACGCATAAAAGACGAGCCGCTCTCACCTCTGACACTGAGCATGAGAATAGTTTCGGTTCCCTTGGAAAGTCCGAGTACTTTTTGTTCTTGACAGTAAAGGGTATAGTCTGAGCGGCGGCCTACGCATGTGCCATTTTCTGGTTGTGGCCGTTCGCACCTCATTGATACGAGGCCAAGAAGGGAAATATGTGTCAAATTCATCCCAGCAAACGCATAATTGAGGTCTTCGCAATTCCGGACCATTCGGTCCACCGACGGAATCCAGGCCACCTGGGGCGATTTGGAGCAGAGCAGCTCGGGAACAAAGCTAGTGGCCGGTGGCACCCCTGGAATTGCATCCGCCGATGCAGACCTCTTGGATGCCCCTAGCTCGGCAACGACAGCAAGGCGCCAATCACTGCTGGAATAGCTCGGCGGTGTAAGAAGAGGTGAAATAACTGTCTTAGACAGGGAAGCGTGAGGACTTTCGAGTTCTGTAGCAGTTCGTGGCTCGTCGTCAGCGAACGGCATATCGGATTGATCTTCTTCTGCTCCAGGCTCGTGTTCATTGTCTGCCACATTTTGGAGGTTCGGATACGTTGTAGACTCTGGCAACAACAGCAGTGACTCCCGAGCGAATCCGGTATGCATTTCGGCTACAGTCTTTCTTGGCTGCGAAGCAGCAGGGACAGCTTCATGATGTTGCATCCGGCGGGCGAACATGTGCAAGCTAAAATCTCTCGTTATGCGGTGGCCAAAGAGCCTGTTCAGCGTCGGCAAACGCTCAAAAGGGAAGTGCGACAACCTAATGTCAGGCAGTAGTAACAGGTGGCTCCTTGGCTCTCCGAGGGTAGCTGACTGCCCTTGGTTGAGGATTGCTGCCAAAGACCAATACAGCATCTGTGCAGCAAGTTCTTCAAAAAGGTCCTCTAGTACAGCGTAAACCTGATCAGGGTAAGTGAACGAAGATGCGGACGACGTATTAGGGATATCTTTGTTGCCGACTGGGTCCTGGATTACAACGGGAGCATCATCGGTGTTCAGCAGCAAGCACTCTGGGAGTGCACGTCGCTGCAAAAAGAAGCGCCATGGAGCCGGACACCCATCAGACGGAGCCACCGGGCACGCCGCGGCAAAGAAGACAAAACCCTTTGCGCAATGGAGGCACGCTACGCAAATGTTGCGCGGTAACCAGGAATTTAGAACAGTCGAAGGTGCCAAATCGGAAAGGTTTGCCATTTGCATGAAACCGACGCGAGAATCGAGCATCCTGCAGCACAGTGATGAGAGGTCAGCACGCATTGATTCGCCTGTACAGCCAAGCTTTGTATTGCGCTGTTTGTATTGCACTCCAAAAGAAAAAGATCGTGAATCATGAAGCCTTCGTCGTGGCAATATCTGATACGCATTGGCTGGAAGCTGATGGAGGCACCTGCTTTGCAGCAAACATACCTTCTGATAACTTGCATTTGGGGAACAGCGCCTGCTTCTCTCCAAGATTCCTCCAAAATCCGGAGCTCTTGTGTGGCAACGCTTTCGGCCATATGCGGACTCGTAAACTGCAGCTGCAGCAACCTTGAAGCCTGAGCAACTTGCGCTGCCTGCAAAGTGACAATGGTTGCGAAGCCGCGATCCAGCTGTTCTAAATTTCCGTTGCCGAAAACGTTGGTTATTAGCTCCTCACCGAGGAAAGTGGCCTCAGTTAGATGGCCGCTGACAATACAAGATAGGAACGTCTGCTCTAACTCCGGCGAGGCAATACAATCACAGCGACCCTCTCGAGGGTCTCTTGCCCAGGCAGAAGCCAGATAATTCAATGACCTCTGCTGTCCTTTAGGAGTTTTGTCCGCCTGAGAGAAGATAAAATATGATGCCAGTAGATTTGATGAGCGTAAAACGCAACTATCAAGTGGTTCCTGCAAGCCATACGTATAAGATTTTCTAGCCTCTTTGAAAGAGGACCGTCGGGTGTTAATCCGACGATTTCAGCTTTTGATGTGTCTGCACACTAGAGCAACAGCGCTTCGGATATCTTCTATCCAGAACTCCCGGTTCTCCTGCGGCTCTGTCTCATCCTGTATCCAGGGGCACAGCTGCATGCAAACCAACGAGCCGGAAATCCTGTGATGGATGTGGCAGGTGCAGACAAGCGTGGGCATGCCCATTAGGTTCTGCGGAAGGGCTGAAAGAATGAATTTGAATCAACCGTGTTCATAACAGTTCCTTACGTCGTGAAGTTCTCTGCCCTGTTCAATTATTCTTTGACGTGCTTGTAGAAGAGACTGCTGATGCCTCAACATCGCACATTGGCAAGCCCACAGAACATCCAGCAGGGACTTGCCCCAGATTTCGCTACAGTTGTATTTCTTGTCAGTTTGGCGACGACAGAGCCCAACAGTTCGCATGGCTTCAAGTTCCTGGACGGCGCGCTCAAGCCACTGCTGCTGAGATTTCATCTGGGAAGACGAAACTGCGTCTTCATACTGGCTCTCATACAGCCACTGTTGCAGCGCACGGCGCCTTTCATCTGCAGAAGATTTTGCGTGGATAAAGTTGGAAGCTGCTGAGGAGGCACCAACCCCGCTAGTCCCTACAAATAGTCGTTGAGATCCCTCAAGAACTTGGTGTATGTCCGCTCTCCAAAATTCCAGCGTCACTAACTGAAGTTGATGACGAAAGCAAAGCAGCTGGGCGCTAGCGAGGGCAATCATATCAGCCCACGCTAAGGCAGATTGATGGGTGAGGTAGTATTTGTTGCCGTGAGTAACAAAGTCCAGAACGGCTCTTGCTTCCAGATCAAGTCCCTGCGAAGCGCATTCACCGGAGGCAATGACGTTTAAAATACTGAACCTGCTGAGCTCTTAAATGTGTGGATCTCAGAATTCCACAGCAGGCGACCGAACAGCTGCACTTTTGTTGCCTGAAACGTCTTACTGCGAGAACTCGGTGAAGCGCCTCAGAGCATTCGTGCAGGTCAGCTGGGGTCACAAGTGGTGGACCACTAGGATTAGGAGAGACAGCAAGTGGACGTTCACGCCTTTCCCAGTGATACGCGGAGAAGTTCTTTTCGTCTGCCCAAAGAAACCGCATCGCTGCCATCAAGAAACGAGCTCCACGAAGACAGCTGGAGGCACAAACTCTCAAAGGTTTCAGTGGGACACCGAGACCTTCAGTCCGGTCGAGCAAACTGGACAGCAGATTCACAGCCTCAAGAAATGTCCGCTTCCAATGAATGTGCAAACTGCCTCCTTCTGCGGTCCAACCAAGGCAGTGCAATGAAAAGAAATGATCCGCCTCTAATCCCTTAAGACGGTGTTTCCATACTGTGAGACTTAACGGCCATTGAGGCACCTCCGCAGTGGCAGCTCCTCTGCCATATCGAGATTGGTGCATCCGATTTGAACTGCAACTTGCTTTGCCTCCTTTTTCGATCCGAGTCGTAGTAGAGGCAGCAGTCTGTTGGGATCCCCAGTGCGAAGAGGAAACACGGGACACGATTGTGGCGCCTTTCTCGAAATTAATGCCAGTAGCTGTGGCGGAGGCGAGCTCGCTCAGGGTCGCTTCAATCTGCTTCATCACAGGGAGGGCCTTTGAAATAGTTCCCTTGGCAGCATGTATTTTCTGTATAAAAGTACAAAACGCAATGTTCGCTGGCAGAAGGCATCAAATAAGAATACCCGACTTCAAAAAGCAATCGAAAGCGTTGAAGACTGCAGAAAGTTGACTGGGTGCCCGTTATGCATTCAGTTCTTTTGTGAATGCCTCTTCTGGGCCACAAATAACCTACCCACAGAGAGTCTGCAACGTCAAGGCCTACTGGAAGCTCAAGTTGGGGAAAGTTTTGCAAGCTTGTAACTGTGTCGAGCAGCTGCAGCGAGCTATCAACATCGCCTTGGCGAAAACGAGACATCGCCAGCATAGCTGTCTGTCGGGCATATAGATTGGGATTGCAATCTTTCAAAACCTGCGGGCTTGGTAAGTAGAGTGAGGCTGAACAGCCCAGCAGGGAACTAACGCCGACTTCCCCAATAAGCAGGCACTGTTCTCCTAAAGTGACAAGCAACTCCCCAATGGAAATGAGGCAACACGTACGGTGAAGAGTCACAACGGAGAAGCAACAAGCTTGTCGGCCCATCGCTGTTGAAAAGCCTTCACCCGCTTCAGTTGCCGGGCCAAGGGCCCCTAGCCACGCGCGAAGCGCTGACGGAGAGAAAAAAGGTTGTAGTTTCTGCGCCTCGTCTAAAAACCGACACGCTACGGCCCCCCGGAAGACTTGTATGTTGAACGATGCCTCGAGAAGCGAAATTGCCGGATGCATTGTCCCAAATCCATTATCAGTAGAGGTAGAGCTATTTGACTGCAATGAAAGCAAAAGGAATGCCTCTGCAATCTTTGCGCGTAAACGCGTGAGCCGCAGGGCCCAAGTTTCCAATCCTAGCTCAAATAAGTGGGCCTCGGTTTTGTTTAAAATCCGAAATGCTAGAGTGAGGCTTGTGGACCAAAGCAAGATATCCCGGATCGTCCCAGCATTCCTGTGCATTCGAGACGTCAGAAGAGAACCCAGGCCTCCTCTATCCCCACTTTTCCCCACATTCGAGTTGTTGAGGCAAGTGCCATCTGCAGCGCCTAAGCGATTGTCCCGCGAGCCAAACTCCCCGAGACGAATCGGGTCGTATAGACTGGCTGACGCCCAAGGATCAAGTTGCTGATTCGCCCGCTGCAATAGCGCATATCCGTATACGCATTTAAATATGCTTTCAACCAGGGAGATGTCAATGTGGCGAGACCCATTCGTACATTGCTGAGGTTCCAGTAACCATCAAGTTCTCCGAACTTTTGGAAGTGCAGTGAAGAAGGGGAACTTTGAGTGTGGAGCGCCTTTTGTACTTTAGCAGCGGCTCACCTCCTTTTGTTCTCCAGAAGACCCCACACTTTTAGTTAGCCCCTCTCCAGCTGCTATATCTTGATCTCTCGTCTTTTCCGAGGCGCTTCGCGCCGGCGCCTCAAGCATTTGAGAAGACAGAGTCACAATTTGTCGCATCGCATCAGCAGTCTCGGATGTATCTGGAGAATAGAAAAGCTTGAGTGCTTGCGCTTGCAGTAGAAGCAGATGGTCAAGTCTGATTACAGTGCCATTAAGACTCATGAGGCTCGTTGAGCACGTTGCTGAGTCCGTTTGACCGCCATTTTCTGCCCCTGAGCACTCCCATGGTAGCCGATCCTGCACATATGTCGAACACAGTTGACCGCTGCGCATTCAATCTGCGAAATCGGCGCGACACAACACAACAGTGAACGCAGAACTTGTTTCAGCTGTTCTTCTGGCCGGTTACCTCTTGTTGGCATTCAATTCTCTTAAGCAGTTCCAACGCAGCACGAATATGTGAACTGGCCTTCGCCCAAGAGCGTCGCGTGCTAAGGAGCCACTCTGCAACTTCCAAGTGAACGACAATCCCATGCGGGTCCTTGTCAACCTCAAATAAACTGGAAGCCCCCTCGTAAGCTTCCATTACCACGGATGTAAGGCCAGGAGTCTTTTGAGCAAGCCGAGCAAAACAATGTAACAAGTCAGCCTCGCTCGAAGGTTCGCTTCTGGCCAGGCTGCATACTGTAGGGAACAAATTAGGCGTTTCTGTGCGCGTCAGAGCGAGGATCTGAAGCTTCATCAGGGGAGTGTGCAGCACTTTGGGCACCAGAAGCATTGCAGCTTCGGCGGTGCGGAAGAGTTCATCCCACTTCCTGCAGTAAGGAAGGGACCAAAGGAGTCCCATGCACATGCGAGTTATCAGAGTTGTCGCAGCAGGGCGGCAGCTGGTGGGGATCGTGTATAGAGCGGTCTTTACAGCCAAATAAGCCTGGTCCCCATTATTCTCATCGCCAATTACTGGCGCAGCAGCGTTCCACAGTGCCCTTGCAGCAAAAAGAAGGAGCGGCACGCAATTAGCTTCCTTCCCGTATTCGCAGGCTTGCAGTAGGTGGCGTATTGCCCACATACTTCCGTCCCTGTCAAAGCAGACACGCCGACTTCTGCTCAACATGACTGGTTGAAACATGGGCCATATTTTGGAACCTAGAACGCCCCACTGATATGCTCACATTGTACACTCCGTAGCAAGAATCGCTAATCCCGCCAGAACGTGCGCCACGCCTTTCCAGAGTAGCAGTTGGTAGTTTACATTGGAAGGAATTTTATATGGTACTGCACAGCACTTTTCCCCTAGCGCTTGGAAAGCATAAGCCACTGGTAGGCCTTGTATGGTTGCAAAGTTTACAGAGAGTGATGCAGCGGCAAGACGGGTCCACAGCTCCGTTTTCAGTAACTCAACAGATCCTACAAGCTCAGCAGCAGTGGGTGCAGCCAGGGCAGCGGTGGCAGACCACAGCAGATCTCCACACTGCAGGAGTAGGTGCTCCCTCGTCGAAGTTTCCTTTTCCAATATCGCCTTCTGAGTAGCAGCCGACAGCAGACAATAAGCATGCAGCGTGAATGCAACCAACTTTCTGCTCTGGCTAGCAATCGACTCGCAAACACAACAGTGTGCTGATAGGTTGATTAATGTGCACGTCGACGAAACCTGGGTGCTCCTAATGGGTATAATGGCGAAAATACCTCAATTTGGAGGAGCACCGAGATATCTGGAGTCAGCTTGAGCATTGTTGCATTTTCAGCCACTCCTGGAGCCTGCCCCTTAGGGAGTTTTGACTTTGACGTTTTGTCAACGCCGGGGGTCTCTTGAAATGCACTAGAAGATGCCTTTAATAACCGTGAAAGAATAGGTTGTGGTATTTCTTGAAGCATGACATCTTGGAGCAACGCGCCGAAGAGGTTGCGCCTGCTCGAACTGTGCCAGAGCGGAACCTTTGAACAGAACTCTTGTACCAGTGCAAAGTCTTGAAGCGCCTGACATTTGACCACTGACGCATCGCACCGAGGAAATGCTCAACACTTGCGCCAGTGCGTTGGGAACTGGCGGGCAATCTGAATGGTCTTACAAGGGCAGAGCGAGAACAAAATTCGGTGAATGTATGCACGACAGCGTCGCAAGCGTTTGAAGGTTGCTCCGAAAGCCGCTGGAAAAGCTCTTTCAGAATTGGCAGCAGTCGGCTGATCTCCTGTACTCTTGTTGGACTATGAAAAAGCAAACTCCTGTATATATTCCACGTGTGAACTGCTGCATTGAAGACGAGCCATGTTTGTCCAAAGGCATCACTGCGGGTAACGCACTGATCTTTTGCTTCAGCTGTCTCGATAGAGCCATAATATCATACTCATTGCACATGAATTAGTAGCGGGCTGCTTGCCATTGCTTCTCTAGCACCCTCTAAAAGCGTTGTTTCACTTGGTACTGCACGCGGGTTGGATTGCGCGTACTAAGCATGCCCTTGGCACATACCTGAGCCTTGCCCCAAACAAAAGTAGATTGTGGGCTCGCTGCTCCTCTGCTAGCGCACTATCGCCGGACTTCATAGTTGAACCACTACCGCTTCCCTTTGAAAGCAAGGGCTGCTCTTCTTGAAGATCACTGTCTTCAAAGGCGGGCCCCACGGTAATCACTTCTGCATTCCCCGGAGTGCCCGGCGTCTTCAACTTGCTGCAACATAGCGCCTACGGGAAACACGCCATATGCCAATGGCTCCAATGAAGGTCTCCAAGCAATAGGGCTATGCTACGCTCCACCGTTGTCTGGGAAAGATACATACCAGTGCGTAAGCAGCCTCAATGACGTGCACGGCCACCTCAATTTCAAACGGCGGCCTCAGCCGTACGCGTAAATCAACTGGCGGCGTCGTGTCGTACACCTCGTTATTGAATGCTGCTGGATCTAAACACTTCTCAGTCCCGTGGATCATGGAAAGAATCGCAGTTGCAGCCCTCGCTGTGGCTCGATCATCCCCCAGTACTCGCGCACGGCTTACTAAATGCCCGTACGATGCTATTATCTTTTTAATCGTGCTCTCTCCCCTCAAGGAAAGCATTGGTTTCCGATATAGAGAAGCCCTACTTTGTTGTTGTGAACCAGCCGCTCGCTTGCTTGTGCCTTGTGGCTCTGCTCGAAGCTGACGGCTGCAAATTTTGCTCTCTTCGTCGGCCAACATCTGGAACGCTCTTCTGCGAAGGTCTTCGGCGCTACCAATTATCTTGGCAATATTGTGCTCGTGCCTTCCACGCAACGCAATGTTCTGGATCTGCTCCACGGGGCTGGAATTTTCCACTGGCAGAGTTAGTTGACTGACTTCATGGGCCATTTGTTCTAGGGATAAACTCAGCGGCCGCAAATCCGCCAGCCGGCTTGGTTCACTCTCCACAACACAACTAGTTGCCAATACTGGGTTTTCTGAAGTAGTAGCAGGTTGGCCGGTTGGTGCAAGATCATTTATGTGGTAGGCAACTGGGCAATAACTGCGTTCGATTTTTAGCGCTCTGTTGATAGTTGTTTGCGCTGCCTTGTAAAGCTCTTCTTCAACCTCGCATTGTGCCAGTTGATGTAAGAGGTGTACCCGGAGTGACATTTGGCTTGATTGACAACGGTCCAGGGCATTACTGGCCTACGCGAAAATACGTATGGATAATTAGAAGCATCGATGAAATGCATACTCCATGCGGGAGAAATCATTCACTCTTAGTACTTTGCTTCGGTTTTACGCGCTTACTTTCTGCATATTTCTGTAGATGTGACGCCGGGTTTCGGGACCTAGGCACGGTCTCGCGATATTCCACATAGTTGCAACACAGATTTCTACCAGATCTCCATTCTCACTAAAATGAGCCATAGCAGTCAGGCATTCGTCCAGGCGACGGACCGCCTGCACTCGGAGATCGCGTATTGGACATGGCTCGCGAGCCGAGGAAGAGAGCAGAGAAAAACCAGAGGGAGCAGAAAAGCTTGTACCTTCCTGCTGGCGGAGTTCACAAAGAAATTCGCGCAGACGTAACTCCGTCTCTATCTCTAACATCCGTTGTAGCACAGCCGCGCTCGTAGTTCCAGCTTGCCACCTAGACGAAGGGCAAGTTCAAACAACCACCCATACCCAAGTGCAAACGTGCAACGTAACTATCCAGCATGAACAAACTCTGTCCGCTGAGCAAGTGACAGTAGTGCAGTTGGGCCGCTAGCAGCCAGAACAGCGGAATAGACTCACCTCTCCAAAGCTTTCGTCATAACTCTAGCCAAGGGGAAAAATCTTTGTGCCAGGGCTGCCTTTACTACTAAGTAACCTGCGAAGTGCTCGTTTTCCCCAACTGTTCGAGCAGGCTCGACGGATTTTTGCAAACTGCAGATGTGATCGTCAACCTCTTCCAGCGTTCCCCTGGTGATAAACGCGTTCCGAACAACTTGTGGCAGTTGCGGATCCAAAATTGACCATGCTTTTAACAGTTCATTACACATGGACTCTCCCTTAAGACCTGCTGCATTCTCCCTTTGCGATCCAACTGACCCAGCTGCCTGCGCTGTTTTCACAGCAAGTCGGCCTGCTGAGATTGCCGTTTCCACCGTGCTTGCCCAGTGTGGGAATTCCGCTTTTGTTGGGATTGGTCCACTCGCATCCTGCCTTCCTCCCAGCCCACCACGAATCCTTAGAAATCACACGAACACAGGCTGTCCCTGACTTCCCTCGCGTCGCATTGTTAAAAATAGTATACGGCCGCTGCTTGCAGCTTCTAAACATCAGATAAAAAGAATTTAGGATATATGGCCTACATGGCTAGCTTGCGCTGCAAAATGTAGTGGTGCTTATCCCACTGCGGTGAGTGCCCGTGGGTGGCCTTGGCCTCAACACAGAGTTGCATAGCATCTTCGATGGCCTAAAACGCTCACCGCACCTACACTCATTCCCCCGTCCTGCTGCGGTAAGCTTCTTGAAACTGCATTTGCTTATAGGGAGATGTGCTGTACATTTCTGCCTGCACATCCAGCTACAGACGGCAGCACTATGTCTTTAGACTTGACCTTTTGAGCTTTTGCGCGTCTGCCTCCATCTTCGAAACAAAACGCAGCGTGCAGGAGAAACGATACGTTCAGTCTGAATTCAGCTACATTAGTGGCTCGACATGCAGCCCCTTGACCTTGGCCTCCATCTGCTGGCGCAGCCATAGCCTGGGGACTTTTGACAGCTCTTCCTGAAGGTTTTGATGGGACACGCGCTTCTTGAGGTCTGCAATCGCACTTCGACAACAGTAGAAACTGTTAACGAAGCACATCGCATCTCACGAGCTTTGTTTGAGTCGTGCGCTAGGTTGGCTATCGTCACGAGCTTTCTACTCGAAAACATTGGATGGCCTACTGCAGAAAGAGCAAGATCCTTTCCAAGCTGTTGCAAAAATTGCGGGCCCAAAATGGTCTTATGAAGGGCCGAAGAAGTACTAGAATAACTTTAATGGCTTGCTGGGTAAAATTCTCCATTCTGTCAGCACAAGAGCTCGGAAGGGCGAGTAATATTAGAGAGGAGAACTACTTGACATCGCATAGAACCCACATGAGATGTATTGCGGTCATGCTGCATGATGGCAGTGCACGCAGGATATCCAGCTGCATGACGGCCAGTTTCAAAAGTGACGCATCTGTTGTGATACCCTTTTAACACTCTTAGTCGAATGGAAGTTCCGAGAAAATCAGTGTGAGACTGACTGCGTCACTTCATCCGCAATCGCAAGTGCCTTTTCGACAAAACTAAGCGCCTCTACGTGTTGATCTACAGCCATTACCCCTTTAGCAGCTGCACGCTGCGCTTGTTTCGTCTGCAAGTAAGCCCTGCAAAGCAAACAAATTGTAGCATTGCTGCCTCCTCGGTTATGAACCGCGCCAGATATGCGATTGTCCCAATCGCCGTTCTTTGCCGAAGGTAGTCGATATGTACGCTATACCCATGTTTTTCTCCTTAGAAAAGCACGCGCATGCAGCGCCAGGCACATTGCGAAAATTGGAACCATAGCTTACCGGAGAAGGAGCCCATATGCCTCTGTCCGTGGGGACCGAATTCCGACTTGATCGAACAGCTGGTGGCAGTGCAAAAGCAATACACGAATGAGGCTCTGCACTGGGCAACATTTTTCCCTGCTAGTTTTCCCTGGTAATCCAGAAAATTACGGCTCAAAAACCTCTTCAGAGGATTCTTCTGTCTCAGTGGCCAACCTGGAAAACATGACTTGCTTTCTCCTCGTCCCCATGGGCGCAAGCTTGCAAGCAGAAGGTAAGAATCATGTCTGGTAGGAAGTCAAAAGGACAGAAACCCACCACATCATAATGTTAGGGGATAGTTGTCCGCGCAGACTAGCGCTCATGCCCGCAAGGCTATCTAGGACGAGTCCTTAATTTTGTGGCGTCCTTAAAACTAACACTGAATAGGCAGAAACCGGAGAGAAGATGTCGGTCTCGCATACTGCTTGGTGAATAGTTACCGGCGTTGAGCTCCATAAGCGATGTTTCTGCCAGTAAGCATATTTCATGATATGCCATTTCTAGCTTTCGTATGGCTGCATGCCCATCCGATCCCTGCTGGAACGGGCGCGACTCGTCAATAAGTCGCATAAGGCGTTGCACACGCACCCCAGACATCTTCACTTCAAGGGTTGTGGGGGTTAAAAGCTCGTACAAAAGAAATACACAGAGCACGTTGCTTCTACTTCTGTGTACAGCGTGTTATTAGCGATATGAGTACTCCAAAATTCTATTTGCAATTCTGCGGGAGCTGTAGCCTCCCTTGTCGGATACTGCAGAAACATGAGGCAAACTTTTTGCACTATTTGGAGTTTCTTATCTTTCTGTTGTGTCTAAGATATGCCCCTGGGAAGTAAGCTTTGCAATGGCTCGGCTGGTGCTCGAGCCCGTCAGCAGGCCATGAGTCCCCCCGTCGTAAAAGAGCCAGGTTGCTGCCTCGGGCAAGCGTTTTACAAGGATTTCCCTCCTACAACTTGTTGGTCTAATGACCGCTCGTTACGTTAGCTTCGTCAGTGTCTTGCGTTTCGAGCGGCCTGGACCCGGGAGCAAGCGGTACCACGGTGACCCTCTCGTGTCTCGAAGGAGAGAATTGTGAGTCTCCCTCTGCCTGGGTTGAAAAGTTCATACAACACTACACTTATACTCCCTAAATATAGCAAATGTGTACCAATGTTGAGGCGGCAGGTGCCATGAAGCAACCGCTTTCGGTGTCGCAGCGGGCGCCCACCGCTGTGGAGACGCCGCCTCTGGCGTTATCGGCCTCCTGTGTTTACAAACTGGGCCTGCCAAGTTCGATCCTTAATTTCGTCGAAATGACGCGAAATATAAGATGGTGAATGAGGCAGGGCACCCTAGTCGCCTGTACTGCGCAAACGGCCCTCCCTGAGGACAACTACGCCGAACCGACATTTTCTTTAGCTCCACAGATATCTCCTTCCCGAAAAGAATTAGGTGTGGTCTTGAAACATGCAAAGTTGAGCGTAACATACCCAATCCTAGGTATGCAGATGGGAAAAAATCACAGTGGCTCAGCGCTACTGTGGGACGGAACCCGTGCAACCTGCTGTCCCGACTGGCCTAAAAGCTGTATTATTCACTCCTCTTGAAACCAACGACTGAGCAGATTCCTTATGAGCTACGTGGCATATGAAAAACTCATGCGATATTTTTTCGTGCTCGGTGAGAGCGAATGGGAAGCGCTACAGCGATTTCCTCGATGGCCACTGTTCGTAATGGAGGAGACGATACGGCCTTCAAGAAGAAGGGCACCATGATACTGGAGGTGTATTTTCCCGCACAGAGTTGGAGGTGTCTTGAAGTTCAAAATATACACACGCTCCTTACTGTTCGGGAAATTTGCCTTCGAGGTGCATTGCCTGAACAGCTCAGTGGCAAAAACGCCTTCGAGCACTTGCGTTTGGCTCCAGCCCTGTCTCAGCTTGAAGTCAGCGCTCTTTGCCGCTGAAATGGATAGCTCACTGATACGATGACTGCTATCTATGACACAGTTCCTTGATCCACTACCGAAAGCACACTCCAAGCAGGCACGAGCTTCTTGCCACTGGCACCATCCGCTGCTTTTCCAAAGTTTGTGCCTGGTTGGAAGCTGCTGTATGGAAGTCCGTCGGTGCAGGAGTACGGTGAGGCATATTCGCCTGGGTAGAACCGGACAGACTCTGAACTGGGGCAGTGACACCTGAATCCCACGTCTTCTTCAACAGCTCGGCTGTGAGTGGAGTTGGGATGTTTGCCGCAGGCGCACGGCTCAGGTTCTGCTGGGTGGAAAGTCCCATGCGAGGGTGTTCGGGAAACTGTGTTGTGGTTTGCGGGTTGGTCGTTGTATCGTATCCTGCTGTGGTCCGTGTTGACAGGGACATTCGCCTGTGCTGGAGCCGTTCTCTGTGCATAGTTATGATGTAGTAGGCCTGTTCTTCCGGTAGGATGTCTTCACGAATGCACACTGTGTTATCGAATGAGCTCATCTGAGAATTCGCCATGGCGGCCGTGATATCCCGGTTACCCAAGCGCAAGGGCTTGAACCCATTGACACAGTTGCATTTTCGCGTCGGCTCTGGTGTAAAAAGCGCTTGGCACAGAGAATTAACGCCACAACCTCCATTGTGGGCACAGGGCCCCCGGTTTGGCGAATCTGAAAATATAACAGCATCGCAACCTGAAGGTTTAATATGGTGCTTGCACACAGCCCCCACTTTACTACGAGGCGTCTAGCAAAACTACCTGAAGAGCAAACCAACCGAAGATTACCGGACAGGCAGATACTCTCCGTACAAATCTGAAGGGATAAGGAAAGCGGTATGTGCTCCTTAAATTTCCTATGCCATCGCTGCTCTCGACACCTCACTTATTCTGAGACACTGTGCGGCAGGTCCCGAGATACCATTCCATGCTGTTCCCCGCGGGCAGATGCAGTCAAAGGTTCCGCTGAAGTTGAAGCACTGCGCTTGCAGTGGACATGGCCGTGGAATTAAGTTTTGCGATCCGAGGCTGCATTCGTCGATATCTATGCACGCTTCCTGAGTCTGCTGGAATCCTTTTCGGCATTTGCACTGATAGCTGCCGACTGTGTTAACGCACACGGATGCAGGGCCACATGGACTAAAAATACATTCGTCGATATCCTTGCACACCTTTCCGTCTCCTTCGAATCCACGATTGCACACACACTTCGCTGTTCCCTGCGCATCTGAACAGGTCGCGTATTGACTGCACGAAGCTGAAGCACATGTCATGGGAAGAACGGGAAGGGCGGCATACGGGTCTAGTATGTCTTCTTTTGCTAGTGTGCTCCAGGCGTCAACAGTGCCTCCTGTTGCAATCAATCCTGTACATCCGCGAAAAAAGACAGCAGCAAGTGGCTGTATAGTTTTGGTAAGCAGCACATGCCCAGCAGACTAGAGGCGGTACGCCATGTTTTAAAGCCATTCAGACCTGCTTAACCTTGCTCAGATTCAGAACACATTTGGGAAGGGAAAAGCTTCTCTCATCAGTTTGGGCTACTTCAAGGGGGATGTCGTCATTTACCCACCTTCAAGGTGGGGATTCTTTTTCACGCTTCGAAGTAGACGGTGGATGACTTGGCGGTAATTCAGCTGTGGACGGCGTGTCCATAGGAGAGCAATGGTGCCCGTCACCATGGGGACGGCAAAGCTTGTCCCACTGACAGATCTGTAGCTTTTTCTGGCCGAAGTCGTCATTATATTGGCGCCTGGAGCTGCAACGTCAACTTGCCTCTTTCCATAGCTACTGAATGGTGCAAGCTGGCCATTGCGGCTAATGGCTGCGACGGAGACAACGTTGTCTAGATCATACGATGCCGGGAAAACGGGCTGCCTGAGAAATCACCACCACAGGCAACACCATTGAAGCTTAAACGCTTAAACGCCGCCTGAAGACGTGTACTTGAATTCATAGATACCCTCAAGATTTGCTCAGCTAAACCTGAAAAGAGCACCGATTTTATGTGCAATGCTCATTGCTTCACTTGTCGTTGTCGTTATTGCCGTTGTAGTTCCCTGCAGCGGCGACAACAATCATTCCAGCTTGTCGTGCTCGTTGTACAGCCTCTTGAAGGCCTCTAAAGCCGCTGCCTCTTCCCCCATAGCTGTTGTTCGACAGCATAATCCCTTTTCCAATCGCATAGTCGAGCGATCTAGCAAATGCACTTATGGTTCCCTTTATGTCCTCATTTAGTGCCTTTAGTACCAAGATATCACAGCCCCAACAAACCCCAGTGAGACCTATCCCGTTATTTGGCTCAGCAGCAATGATTCCTGCTGATGCGGTGCCGTGACCGTTATCATCCATAGGCAGATTGGTCCCCTTCACAAAGTCCTGAAGCAACGCACGTGGAAAAGTAAGCGGCCTTCTATTTCAATAGGGTATCGGAACACTCCAAATATCTACTCAGCCTCTTTCCGCATCCACGCCCACTTCAGATAAGATGATAAAGCGTACCCAGCCTATGCAATCATCTACAAATCCATTGAAGTCGTCGTCAATGCCGTTTCCACAGATTTCATCTGGGTTCCGCCAGATCTGGTTCTGCAGGTCAGGGTGCTCGTAGTCGACGCCGCTGTCTATCACGGCAACTGTGAATCGCGGCTTCAGCCCCTGGCCTGACACGCATTCCATGCACACAAACAGAGCAGATGGAACTGTCCAGAGTGCTTGATGCCCGGCGTAGAACCGGGGTCAACACTATGTGGTACGCATCGCCTCTCGCATTGCTAAAGTAGGTGGTGGTACCTGTCCAAACCTCCCATGCATTGGGGGCTTCGATTCCCCATCTGGTGGGGCCGCTGTCCACAATAGCCCACTGCTGCCAAGTAAAGGGGTCATTCGTCATAACCTCCAGCCTGCGACTTGGCGCCTTAAATTGGCTCGCTGTCTGGTGCTGCCCGGCATCAGTTGCAAATGTGGTACCAGTTTGACGGTGATGGAGAGGCTCTGAAGCTAATTCTTCTTGGGACGGATCGTCCGGCAAAGCCACTTGGAGTTCGCTGTCGAAGTCACTAACCAGGTGGTCAGTATACACGTGGCTCACGTAGTTATCCAGCTTCAGCACAGTGGCAATGAATTCACGAACACGCCACAGTGGCGGCACTTCAAATATCTCCATCCCAAGGTTTCGAAGATAAACAGATTGCATGCGATGTGTGCCTTGAAAAAGCGAAGCCAGCTGCCGGAGAAACTGGTTTCTTTGGCCAAACATTTCTATCCACATTGATGGCTTGTATTCCTTATAGCAAATAATCACGTTACGCTTATAATTTGGTAAAATGCTGGCTGTCTTCAAGAAGAGCCCCGAAAAAAGTGAATCCACGTGGCGCCCAAGGCCTTCCCAGAGGCTCCCAGCACCTGGAATGAGCCACTCTTGACCTTCTGCGAGGAAGTTGGCAAAGTTAAGGGGATTAGCTATGTCCCTCGTTCGATACAGCAAGCTGTGAGCCAAGGGCGAAGGTATGGATATCGTTCCGTCCAGGCTTTTCATTCTGCGTGCCATTTCGAGGACTACCCGCGTATCTGCGCCTTCATCAAGAGATGCAGTTCTCTGCGTCTGTACGTCATCAGGATAAGCGTCTCTACTCTCTTCAGACACGCTCTCAAATGAGCTGCTCAGGGGCTCCTGCCTTAGAAATTCCTCTCTTCCCCGCCGAAGGGAGGGTGCCTCCGGTAATAAACGGTCTCCAGCCTCCCACTCTTCGCTATCGCTTTGCAGCAAGTGCCGTCCATTCCCGTCCCGCTCACCGTCTTTCTCAGCCTGCGATAGTGCGCGTATCCTCTGCGGCGAGCCTGACGGTTCGCCGTAGCGGAAGTTCCTTCTCCAAGGTGGCAGCCCTTCAGGAGAGACGAGTGCAATGCCGGAGGGATTCAGTTCTCTTTGATGCTCGTATTCGTCTCCAGGATGGACGTTGCTGCCGCGGGGCCCTGTAGGACCTGTAAACACGTGACGAGGAGGGCCGCTGGATCTGCCCGGCCCGTCGACGTGCTCGGGAAAAGGCGCCTCAACGCCTTCTCCGGAGGAAGGAACAACATTACTGCCATTTTTATGAACTTCAGCTGAGGCATATATTTGGGAGTCGTCGCGTACGGCCGCGCAGGATGAGAACGCTCCAAGAACAGCTAGGCAAAGAGCAAGGGACCAAAAGCTGGAGGCCATTCGTAGCATAAGTTGCCAGCGTACACTCTTTGTCAAATCTCTGACCATTTCTAAAGTCACTTTCTTGCTACGTTATCGGTTTAAAAATTCTTTGGCGGGGAAACGCAACGTTTCCCATCCAGTCAGCCACAGAACTGGCTACAGGAGGTTACGATGAAAAATTTGAGAAACATGGGGAGGATTTCGCTTCAACACACGACAAAAAACCCATTTGCCGTGGTAGTTGAGCCCTTCAAAATGAATTAAACACTGAAATATACATGTGCATCCTGCAACTAACAACTGTGGGGTCACCGTCCTGAACGCGCCAACGACTGCTGACGACAGACAGATGCCTGCCGCCTGATTTGCATTCACCAGAATATTGTAGTCATTAGTGCCCCATAAGCGTTTAGATTTTGTGGCTTTAAATTTATGCTTGCGTTGATGTCATGCGCATAGCTGCCAAATCCTTTCCTTTTCGGGAACGTTGGACTGGCCACGACAGCACGGGCACTGCACTGAGGGCGCGTCCGAAAGAGACAAAACTACTGCATTCCACCGCTCTTGGTATCCATTAAACGCATTTATGGGGGTACTTACATTGTTGCTTCTGCTTCCATTACATACTTCACGTGCAGTCCTGTTCCACGTACGGTTCTATGCCCGTTTCTCAGTCGTTGTACCGCCCGTCTTCGGGCACTGCATGCTCCTCGCGTCAGATCAGATACAAAAGGCGAGACGAGCAATTTTAATATTGTCTTTAAACTCCAAACATTCTTCTGAAAAACCACAGAAAACCGGAGCCACTGTCAGCGGCAAAGGCTTCAGACGTTAGATTCCGGCGATCGTTGCAGTATACCACTTCATCTGCAGAAGACGCCAACTTGAACCAAAGACACTTCTGTTCTCTGTGATGCCTCCATGTATTCAAATGGCCTATCACACTATTACTAGGCAGATTAACGGAGCCTGGTACGCTCATCTCGTCGGCTGTATAAAAATTTTAAGTAAGCGAAAACGCCCCACCAACATTAGCGGCCCACTAGCAGTGAGTCCATGCAGTACAGCGACTACGATGGTAACAAGTTGAAGTCCTCGCCGGTTCACTATATCTAAACAGCAAATATCCCTGCACGCGCTATGCCTCTGCCCTCTGTAGAGTGAGAATCTCTGGTGCTCCTACGGAGAGCATCTACATATTCGTGGGGGAAGATACAACGGGTAGCTGCGAAGAAAACGCGTTACGTGTACAGCAGGACTCAGCGCCTAATGCTAAAATAAATCGAAGAAGCCCAATGGCGAGAAGCAGACGATGCCGCAGTCTGATGTCCGTTTGTGCGATGCATGCTTAGCTGCAGACTTCCAGTTGCATGCTGAGCTGCATGGCCACATAACCCAAAGAAAATTGAGGTGATCCCCTAATTGGACTGCGCAAACTCACTTATGGTAGCCTCGTCCTCCGCTTCAGCCGCGCTGGGAAAGCCGAAGAGGCTACCATGGTGGACCAGTCTGTACACTACGAAAAAAAAGACAAGGGTTAGGATCATTCCACCATACACCAGCCATTTGTCACCTTGCTGCCTTCGACCAACTGCTCCCAGTAAGGTTGACGCAACGCCCGCACTACTGGCCATATCGAGCACCTTCCGCCGCGCACTTTTGAGTGAAGCATTCTGAGACACGAGCTGCCCGACAATACCCCAGCCTTGAGACAGCACCGAATCCAGCACTGTACGGGATTCCTGCAGACGGTCCCTCTCTTTAGCGTACATAAGCTCAGCATGGCGCATGTCCCCCCACCTCTTACTGCGGTCGGCGTCACCAAGTAGTGCCTTCCGGTCACGCATCGCCTCCTGGACCCGCTGCTGTTCCAGGTTCATGCGGCCTTCTGCCTCTCTCCTGAAGCTCTCCGCATCTGCAACCAGGTCTTGGATCCTCCGCTCCCAAATGGAGTACATATTTCGCGATATGCCGCTGGACTTAGCCGACGCGAGCGCATCTTGCAAACTCAGGACAAGCATGCAAAATTGACGCGTGAGGGCTGAGAAACGCTGAAGCTTCGCCGCCGAGGAGCCCCCACTTCCGCGCCCATCACAGCCACCAAAAGGTGCCTCTGCGCCCTTTATTGCAACTTCCCGGCCTAATGGTCCAACGTATGATCGACCTCCTGAATGTATAGGTGATTGCAATGTCAGCGACGATGATATGGTGCGGAGAAGAGAATCCAATTCCTTCCTAAGCGACACACACTGTGGGTACAGTTCGGACAGGCTATCATTCGACGATGGATCTTCCATTGTGCTTAGGCTGAAGAGGCGAGTGGTGGCCTCCTGGAGTATCGTGCCGACCAGTCGGCAGTAAGCTTTAGTTTAGCGGCACACCGCCGTGCGCATTGCAGTGGAGACAACACCGCCTCACTAAACGGCAGACCGACCTCCTCTATTCGCTTCATAAATGCACGTGCCAACCCTAGCGGTTCTCTCTGCCAGGGCTAACAACCGCTGCTCCAGCCACGCCAAACAAGACTAGTCAGACGCCTACGGAGACGGTTCGCCGAGTCCCACCTGAAACGCTATGCTGCCCAGGATGAATTGGTTTTGAAAAAGGGGACATCTTTCTGCGGGAAGGGTTCCAGTTCCTCCCTATATACACGACCGCAAGAAATCCCCGCCCGCGCGGAAAAGACGCAGTACGCCCCCCGTGTTCAGCAACCCCCTACAGGCTTATCATACAAGTATATGGAATATATATCTATTTACTTATGTTGCGTGCGCTGGTAGGGTTCCAACATAACTGCCGGAGTGGACCGGGGGCTGCGAGCAGTGTAGTACCCAGCTCCGACGTGGGACTGAAGAAGAGGAAAAACAACGAGTACTTGTGGGAGAAAAAGAATTTACGAACAAAAACGGACGAAACGTTCCTACCAAACACCTCCTCATTGAAGTTACGTAGTTAGAACAGCTAAGGGAGGGGGCCACCGGGGCTGCCGGTGAAGTGCCCAGGGGTGAAGTAGCTGGCTATCGGATCATGGACACCGAGCGGTCAGCTACCAGGCCAATATAATTATTCTCATTTGCTAGTTGCAAAGTTTTATTATCTGCCGGTGAGTGCGGCTAGAAGGAGATGGAGGGGGACATGAATTGGTGTCCCTGTCCCCATACTCAGTCAGCTGAGACAACACGCTTATGTGAGGTTTAGTAGAGGGGGAGAGTGGGGGAGCCATCGGACGAAGCTGGGATGCTCCATGGCTCCAAATTCTACACAGGAAAAACATTCTGATTCGGTGTGTTCCCTATCCAGCTGGCGAAATAGGTCGCCCCTGTTGGCCCCCGAACCGGGGACAGTGGCACTGGTGCCAGTCCCTTCGCGCGTTTGCAGCAGTGTGTAGCGACCAACTCTACTCCATTAAGGCTAAACACGAACTGCGCCTGTTATCAGTTATCGCTTCGCATCATGCGTTATTAATGTTGGCTAGTACGCCCGCAACACAGTAGCTACCACTACACGGATTGTAGTGCACGACACTAGAATTTTCGCTTTACCTGCAAACGATTAAACGCTGTAAATGTCTCTCTGTGTCCAGGCACCTCAATTTCGGTCTGCCACTAGGGATCTAGCTACCCACCCACAGCTTTTGTGGTCTCTCAGCGGCAAGAGACCGATAATTAACAGTTGTATTATTGACGCTTAACAACAGCTTACTCCTTCTCTCCCCCACACCTCCAGACGAAGCCGAAAGTCAGTCTACAAAGTTTAGCGCACCTCAGAGTTTTGTATCTCATCAAGTCTATAAGCACGGCGACGATATCGACGCCAGGCGTAACCAGTCCTCGATCTTATCCGGGGACTGTCACGAGCTGCAAAGGAGTCTAGAGACTTGCGATAAGAGTTTTCAAAAAGCATCTGACCTCTACTGCCACTAAACAGCCTGGGGCCGGCGGCCCAGGCGCCTGGGCACGGTGGAGAGGACGCAGCCTCACACGAGTTCCAACGCACCCCGCTCCTACTCGTGCTGAAGTGCAGCCAAACCCTATTGCTGCATGCACTGATGCTGTGTACAATATTGTTGTTGAACGCTTACTTGCCCTCCCATGGCCAGTCTGCGCACAAGTAAGGGTAAAGATACACGCTGTAGCATTGTCTTTGTGAATGTGGTTTGCGTATTCCTACTTCGTGCAGCTGGCAAATTAGGGCCAAGAAAGTGCTCAACAGCCGCTACAGTGTTAATGCATGCAGCAGTAATGCTCGGTTGTGCCTGCGTGCACGGTTCACTTGCAGCACATGTTGCAGCGGGGTGCGTTGGAACTCGTGTTAGGTTGCGTCATCTACCCCGTCTCCAGCCGCCAGGGGCACCGGTCCCATGCTGCCTGGTGATTGGAAGTGTCAGATGCTTTTTTAGAAACTTTTATCTCAAGTATCTTGACTATTTTGCAGCTCTAGACTATCCTCGGATAAGACCGAGGACTCTCTTTACACCCCGGTCGAATAGATCTGGCGAAACAGACACCAATCCCGATCTCCCTTCCGCTTTCTCCAGCCACACCTAGAGGAAGACCATGAAACCTAGCAGCTACTAGCCAAGAATAGCTACAATGGCCTAGTGACTTTCCTGCACGATGTCCATGATCCGTTTGTCAGCTTTGGAACTCCCGGTAACTACAGGTCTTCCCCTGTAGTTCCCGCGGGTTCCGAAGCGGCTGTGCCTTGGATGGGGTAACATATGCCTCGAATAAGTGGCAATGAGAAGTCCCATATTTCAATCAATCAACGTTTTGGACAAAATCTGGAAAGGGCTAGCATTGAAGAAGGTGCCAACAAGGAGTATAGATGCAGCCGAGGAGTAGCGACGCTGCCATATAACCGTTCATTCTCGCCGTTGCACCGCGACGCCACATAAACTTTACAGATTTGTGGCAAATATTTGACAAGCATAATTAAAATTGTTCCTTGATGTACAAAGTTTCTTGGATGCCCGCGAGGCTACCGCATGCTCCACGGGACGACCAACCCACCGTGGCCCTCCAACTCTTAGCAAGTCGTCTGCATCTCCCAAAGAAGCCCCCGCGCGCTTCCAGTTAGCTGTATTTGGATGCATATTCACTTTTCTTCCAGGATAACGAATAGCAACAATGGACTTCTCTGACTCGTCGACTCTGCTGGGGGGCCCGTTGCCACGGGCCCCCCAGCACTGTCAGTCATGCTAATGACTGAAACTGCCGTCGAAAAAAGCGTTTTCGGATACCGAATAGATGGAACTGGCATCACACTGCATGGAAGAAGGGGATAGGCTTAGTTCGAAATGCTGGGGCTAGCCGGATCTTGGGCTTGCCGGGGGCTCCTGAGGCAACAGCAACGGGGGCAGGCAAAGCAGCAGATGCTGCTACTTCTGGCGTTTCTCGTGGACTGCTGCATCGGCGTTTCAGCATCTGCTCACCTCCGTTGCTCCATTTCGAATAATACTGGCGCCAGGTTCGCTTCGTTTGTCGGAGGCACTTGGTCTTGTCCCTCATTCAGAAGGGCATTTCTTGCGCCTGCCAGCAGCAGCAAAAGCGCAGACAAACCAAACAGCCTATGGACGTCCCTGAAACCTCAGCATGTTAACTGCAGGCGAATGCACAATGAGGTAGCTTCTCGGAATACTCGGCCCGAAGGGCTCGTCAGAGCCTACCCCACGCGATGGGTGATGGAACCAGGCGCTCACAGGGAAGGCGGCCCCACATTCAGCAAGCAATCGATGCTGCTGAGAAGTTTTCCCGTCGACACAACGATCTATGGAGGTCCCTTGACCCTGCTCATGAGGGCGCATGTCCATCGGTCCCACAGCAGGTTGGGAAGGCCCGCGTCGCACAGAAAGTCCCTTTTACGGAATCTTGCAACCCAGGCAAGCCTCAATATAAACATCAACACCATGAGCTTGGCTTATTTCTTGTGTATGATGCGTTGTGTTGATTGTTAACGGCTTTCTCCGTGCTGCTCGTGGTAGCTGAGCACAGCAGTACGCTGGGGGTGCCACCACGATGGACATGCAGCCGGTTTGACGTGATTGAAGATCCCTTCATTTTGTTTGCAGTTAATAAGACATGGCAGCATCATAACGACTGCAGCCAAGGGTAAGGAGCTGCGCCGCGTGATTGACTCGAAAATTGTTCTGGCGAAAAAAGGGGGACTCCACAACTACCGCCAGGCCCTCGGTTTTTTTTACGATAAGAAACTGACGAGGAGCCTGTTTCAGCAAGTAAGGATCAAGCACCTGATGGTTGTTTGATTGGCAGTCAGCAACATTCTCTGTTGCTGCGGAATGCGGCTCCTTCTCAATGTATATATACCCTAAGATGCGCAAGTGCACGAGATACCAAAGAGGCTCAGTTTTGATGTGGCAGATCAAGTATACGTCGACGACGACACCTCCGTTCTTCATTATATATCCGAAGTATCTGTCTGTGTGTTGTGTCCGGTATGAAGGCCCCAACAAGGTTCGCACGAAGAAACAACGGATTTTGTAGGTGCACGCGACTGCCGTTTCCCCGTTTAGGCGATGCGGCCAAAATATGCAGAGTCGAACTTCTGGACTAGTTCCTCCCAAAACACTAGCGAGATGCTTACACATCTCTCCATTAAGATAAAGCCGGCTGCCTACTGGCAAACCAGCGAAGTTGTGGAGGCTGTCTGTATAAGACAAAGCGCTTCCATAGCTGCCATTCAATGGGTCTTCCTGAGTGGTAGTTCTGTCGCGCTGGGCTTTCATAACCAGCGTTGCTTGCTGGTGCTTCCAAGTGACAGTCCAGTAACCGTTTTCTTTAGCTCGCTGGTCAATTTTTTTTTAATCGATTAGCGCGCGTCTGTTGACGGGGGGGAAGCAAACTCCCGCGACCTGGGCTGGATTTTTTTGGGTTGTGCCGAGTAGGATTGGATCCAGTGTTGTTGGTGTATATGGACACGCATTCAATCAAAAGAGATGCTCCCCAAGTTTACGTGTGATCGAATGTCTGGGGATGAGATAAGGAAAATGAGCCACCAGTGCATGGGGCTGCACTGCACGCCGGCGGCGGCCTCCCGCCGGCTCGGTACCGCAGCAGACCAGGGGGGGCGCCGTAAAGCTTTTAGGACTTTTTTTTTTCAAGTTGACCCTTGTTGGCATTTGCCTGTGTAGCTTGCTATATAGCTTTTAGCTGCTCATACATCGCTTCTTGCTCTTGACTAGCGCGCCTACCGTCGGCGAAAGCCAGTTGCTTGCGAGCGGTGAAGTCTACCGGTTTTGTCTGAGGAGACAGAAATGCTGCTCTCCCGGTTAGATGAATTTTAAGCTTGGAAGAGAATACCTCCTAACATAGTTTCTTGTGAAGCTTCATTGGCCGGGTGTTGCGGCCCGGGGTCTGGGACTGGTTCTCCGCGGTCTCCAATGAGCGCCGATCGGTGGCCGTGATTTTGCAGATTCTTGCGCTGACAGGATCGCCAAGCTCTGTATTCGCTCTAATCGCCTTCTAATTTGTTGGTTAGGCATTTTTCAATTCCCTTTCGGTGCACAGCCGTCGAATTGCTCATATTTGGCTTCCCGTGGTCTACAGGCTACGCCCATGGTTTCTTCCCCAGTCCTGCCGCAACAAGTTGAGCTCCATATTTGTTAAGAAACGCTCAGCCGGAGTTATTAGTAGCGTTCACATAGGGGGTTCAGACGAGAGAATGCAAATGGCGGTCTTGCCCGAGCTAAAGTCGGATCGGCTGCGCATGCAGCTTAGTACTGTCGGCGAAAGATTCGCAGGCTTCAAGAGCTCTATTGCAGATGACTCGCGCAAGAGGAAGCAAGTAGATGAGCAGAGATATCAGGCAAGTTCTCTTTCACTAGGCGCTCATTGATATGCTCGGACTCGGCGACAGTACAGTGCAGCCCCGTTTAGCTGCATTCCACATACATTCTTCATAGTGATCGTCGCACCTAGTTTTTGTTATTTCCGTTGTCAGGAGATCAAAGACTCGATAGTAGCTGTGGAGAAAACACTTAATCAGGAGATAAAGAGGCGAGTCGATGCTAACAAGACACTCCAACAGATATCTGAACAGATGGCTAATGAAATGCTGGAAAGGCTACAACTGCGGATTGTAAAATACATAGAGAGCCTAACGGTAAGCCCCCTATGCGGATCAGGGCAATTGTGCTTATTATATTTACGCGTCGCCGAATTGATTGCAGGCTTTGCATAATTCGTGGCAATTAAGAAAAAAGGGGAGACTGCGCACACCACTAAATGTCCTTCAACACCTAACTTGAACGTTTAGTGTGTTTTTCTTAGTAGGACTTGATTAAATACGTGTATGTTTTCGTATTCAGGTGTCGATGGACATGCTGATAACACGCTGCGAAAGCCTGGAGAAAGGGCTCGCCCAAATGAAGGGAGATCTACCCAGCAAGCTTGCGGTGGGGAGAAGCACCATCTCCAGGCATCATTGCTTGGCATGCACTATCTTGTGTACTTGTCTACCAGTTGCAAGTCTTGTCCCCCATAACTCGACGTTTTTTCTGGAATTTCTTCCTGTGCGGCTGCAGCAAGACTTCGCAGCCCTCCAACGTGAAGCAACTGCCCTTCGTCAGGCATTTTCAGCTGAGACGAAGAACAAGAACGAACGAGAGAGTCTTGCGTGCAAGAAGCTGGGGGAACTCCAACTTCTTGTAGACTCAAAATTTGAAGCTGAAATCGCAATTAGGCAGGAACAGCTGAACCTCATAAAGAGAGAGGTTGAGAGGCTTGTCAAGTACGTGAATGCTCTGTAAACATAAACAAGGTGCCTTCCTGCATGAGATGTCGTCAAGCTCTTTCTGCATGCGTAGACGTAGACAGAAGTTCTTGCTGCAAAACTCTCGTAGGAAGGCATCCAATTCATGCGCCAGTCCACTGGAAAACACAGTGTGAGGGGCCTATTCCCACGCGGTGCTAGGCCTGTTGCTGAACTTGAGGGGATTAACGACTTTTGGCTTCCCTCGCTACGTGACCTTTACCGTGCTGCATTTTCTGGACTGCACGCAGGGGAGACGAGGCTCACGAGCAATTCCACGCCTTTATTATGGAGGAGCTGATGGCGCTTAAGAACGGATTGGCTCTAGCCACGCAGGCGCGAGAACAGTCAGACGACGAGATTATACAGGTACTGGACGCATTTGAACCTACAGTGCACAGATGCCTGTCCAGTGTTTCCACAGTAGAGCGGGGCGGGGAAACAACACTACTAGCCTGCTGCACTGGGGCACGTAGCACTTACTGCATGGGCACGGGCAAGGATTTAGGAATTTGACTACAAGGGAACGTTGGAAGCTATGAATCTGTTTAGAGGAATATATTCTGCTTGGACTGCTCGTGTTTCGGTTAGTTCTGCATTTCCGTGTCTGCTGCTCTGATGTCACAACCTGTGCTGTTTTTGGCTATGCGGACCAGGCGATCAACCAGTATACCACCGCCCTGCAGAAGGGATTGCGTACGATCAACTCACTGTAGTTGCCGAAGCGCTGCCCCGTCCTGTCTAGATTTAATCACATCCACACCTGGGCGTGACTGGTGCGTATATGTTTAAACCAGCTTCTGCAAGCGTGACGTCAATTACTGTTCCCTTATGGGGTTTGCAGTCCCTCGCTGTTTTGATGTATTGGCGAAGTAGGAAACTGCCAAGCTTTTTCGGTAACCGATTTTTTTTTGGTGGGTAGGGGTCGTTGCCTTCTGCATTGTCACTCGCCGGCCGACCAAGAGCCGAATAGACTTCTCTTTTCAACTCGATTTTGCCTCGATTTCATGCATGTGCGTTGGAAAAGACTACTACGTAGATACGAGATGAGCAGATAATGTTGACACCAGGCAGCATAACAATAAGGCAGATATACTGCTCGGCAATGCCCCTTCTGTGTCTTGGGGGGAGCACAGGCGAATCTCCTCTTGCCAGGACGACCGCTAGAAAGAACGGACTAGGACAACGAGCCGATTACACTCAGTAATCCGCCTCTACGGGAAATCCAAAACTGTCGTACACGTCAGGGTCAGTGCAGGCCTAGAGTGGTGGGGGATTTCAGTTTCACCTGCTTGCGTGAGACAAAAAGAGAGCGCCTGATAAAAACCCTTCAGCTCTTTATGGGCTCCGGCTCCCGCGTCCGACGGAGTGCCGGCATTCAGTTCTGGGTACACCTGCCCGAAAGATACTTCGTTTTAGAGCTCTTTTCTGGTGTATGTTATCAACGAAGCCGAAAGGACGGAGAGAGCCATTGGTCCAAACTGGCCGATTTGCCGGTTGGGCGCGGACGGCCAACGGCGCCTCAAGCCGAGCCCAAAACCGGAGCTAGGGTTTATTTTTGTCCACAGCGGCAATGTCTTCATGTTTCCTCCCAAGAATAATACTCATCGTGTTTTTGCTCAGAAATATCTACCCATGTGTCAATATTTCACTCAAAAACAACCCACAGGCAAACGATGGTCGACTCGGGATTCCGCTGGCACGGCTGCGTGGCTTGCGTGGCTTGCGCCGCTGCAATGTCCAGCATTGGCTCCGCTTTGTTTCAAACGTTACCAGTCATTGAGCCCGACGTTTTCTGATTTGAACCAACAGGCAATAACACTCCACAATCATAACCTCTGAATATTGTTTGCTTCTGCTTCCTCATCCTCTCATACATAACATCGACCAGCGACAGCACTGTCGACAGCAGCCGACCAATACAGACGAAATCGCCCTTAATCCCACAAGATGGCGACAACCACCTACCCTTCGCCGTATCCGGCGTATACGGAGACATATCTTACGCCGGAAGGATACATTCAAGGTGAATTTCTGGTGGCGAGTTGCTGCGTTCGGTGTTGAGGCAGTGTCGCAGACACCAGCAAGCCGACCTCCAGCTTCTGATGCTTCCATTTCCGTCCCTGGATTCCTATCAAATTGCTATTTCCAGCCATAAAGAATAGCGTGGTGTCATTCCGCAGCTTGAGGTTGAAATCGACTGCCAGCGGCGGCGAGGAAACCACGTCGTTACACTTTGGGTCTCACCCTACGCGGAAAAATCACCCCGCTTTCCTTCACCTAAGCGTTGCTATATGTATGGGTAAGTGAAACCTTATGCGAACCATTCATCATCTCTTTTTTTTTTCTTCTCAGGGGACGGCAGCATGAACAACATGGCGTACTACGCTGGTGGACCGGACCCGATGCAGCCTTGCGCGCCTTCTGTTGCTCAGCAGATCCAACATAGAGATGCTATTGAAGTTCATCAGTTTGACCCCATGCCCTCATACAATTATGTTCCCACAACATCTCCCCCGCTGTACGAGCCCGCCTCAGGTAGCCTGGGCATCAATTACCAAGACCCCAAAATGCAGACTTTCTGCCATGCATTCGGCAATGGATTCTCCTTCTACAACACCACCACAAACAGTGCGATGCCTCAAGGCTATCACATCGCCATGCAAGGATTCCCAGAGGCAGCTGGAGCCCGTGCAGCCATAAAAAAAGAAATACAAACACCACCATCCATGGTGCAACAACCGCAGCAAGACGCCCAACAAGGCAAAAAGAACAAAAGGAGGTCAATAGCCTGCTGCTGAAGAGAAAGCTCTGGGTTTGTATCTGCTAATATTTCTCTTCATGTGCTAGTGTTTAGACTATCAACTACGAAGCGCTGAGAGAGAAATCGACTCTCCATCCGGCGCTCCATAGTGCCGCTTTACTGTACAGGCATTTGTAGTACCTTTTTTAACCAAAGATCTAAAAATCCTTCTGGGGCATCCCATGAGGACTTAAGAACAGTAGGGAGGCTAAGGTTGCTCCTTTTCCCCCCGAATTCTCACAAGTCGAATATCGACAAGTTTTCTGGCTATGGAGTGATGCCCACCGGCCCATGTTCAAATTTGGTTACGAGTTGGAAAACGATAAGGAATCCCTATTGGGTTTATTAAGCTCCTGAATGAAACAGTGGCTACAACTGACTCCTAGATGTTCTAGATACAAGCAACCGTCCTCTTCATAAGCCGCAGTTAATTAGGCCGAGTCAGGCTGCTACCAGTGCTACAACTGTCCTCACAACTGCAGCTGCTGCATCTGTAGTTTCCCGTAGTTTCTGCTGCTACGTTGGCCGCAATTAACTTCCCTGTTTCCGGAAGGCCCGCCAGGAACGACGCACCACTGGTTTTGCTAATATGGGAAATTCAGCATATCCATGGTTCGTTGCCAAAATGACGTCCAAAACGCATTACACCCCACGTCGCATTGGCTTCGCAAGAGCTGGTTGTGGCGCCGCCTTTGCACTGGCTGGGTGTAAGGAGGGAAACGCTGCTGGCGAGCGTGGAGACAGGCGTACTCTGCAAATTTTCATCTTCGAATACAGCGAAGGCGGTAGGAGTGCGTGGTGCAAGTCTGCACCACACGCAGCTCCCCCTTTCTCACAGGCGCACCGCTGCTTCAAAATTAACTACTTCCTCCTCGGTGCCGCAGCAGAAAGCTGTGCGGTGATCCATTTTTTCGAGGGCCTGAGGACAGTCGGAACTTTTCAACGCAGTCGCACCATTCGCCACTCTGCCAGATTACATGCTCATACAGCTCCGCATTCCACGCCACCACACAGCATTTCTTGTGGGCTTGCAAGACAAAGCAAGGAAAATTCACACGTTTCTAGCTTGCAACCATAATCAGAACGGAGTATGCTCACCACATCGAGGGCAGAGCACTTCCCATTGCTAGAACGGCCCCCCGCCGCCTCCACTAGAAAAGCAATCGGTGCTACTTCATACGCAAGGCGAAGCTTCGCTGGTGCCTTGTTACTGGCGGGGTTGCAAAAGACCCCATGACCCTTTACAAACAATTGGTAGACGTCGGGACCGAGCCCCCCTATCAGCGGATCAGATGGAGGCACAAAGCTATTCAAATTCAAATTGCTGAAGGTGCAGGTAAAGGGAATTGTGTATTTAACCTGCACTTGGAAGCACGTGATGTCACACACTTCAGCGTTTATCAGAAAACCATATGCACACCTGTGTATCTAAGTGTGTATCTCTCCTCCATCCACCGCTGCACCATTTCGTTATACGCGGGAAGGTCTTGGGCAGCTCTGAGGTTTGCAGGAGAGAATATTTTCGCTCCTTTCTTCAGAATGCTGCAGGGGCCCCTCAAGACTACAGGAGCTCCCTCCTCTGGGTCGAGCTGAAGGTCGAATGTTGAACCGTTAACAGAAAGCAGGGCAGTCGTTCGTGGCCCATAAATAACCAGAAGTGCGGCGACCAGCTGACGACCTGGAAACACAGCTGTAGCCAACTGCGAATGGTCCAGTCATTGACATACTTACTTGGCTGTGAATCACACCCGCTTAAAACAGAGAAGTTTTGAAAGCCCGTGTTTTTTATACAGCAGTTGTGAAGATGCCGTGATCCTTAGGAGACTCGTGTGACAAGCGCGGAGCCGACAACAGCTACATATACATGAAAACCGACATTCCCTCACCTGTGGCGCCGATAAGTGTGGCTGGTCCCTTCCACTGTAATCCTTTTTCTCCAATCTGCCATATTCCGAAGATCGATGCGACGCTCCAGTTGCAGTCAATTATGCTGCTCCCGTCCAGAGGGTCCCAGCAAACAACGAGGGATCCCCCAGGATTAACTTCCTAAGAAGAAAAACGAATCGTTGGGGGATAAGGGGAGGCAGGTAAAAAACGCCACTTGAAAACGGGTACCTACGCCCACTAACTAGAAGGAGGTGGGCCAGACACTGCAGGTAGTTTGCGTGGGCCTCGCTCACGCCCGAAAGGAAGAGAAACGGGCACAGGCGAGCGAGGTAGGTGTGTATGAAGCTGTTACCTCCAGATTTGTGTCTTCCTCACTGCTTATGGCCTTCACAAACCGGCACTCCTTAGCCCAAATCCTTAGCTGACGCTCCGCAAGCAGGTCGACGGACAGCTGCTCCTCCCCGAAGCTGTTGCTGGTTCCCGATTTGGTGACTTTGGTGCTGCGCAAAGCCTTGCTTATGCGGCCTTAAGGCACGCAAATTATTTGTGCAGAAACACAATCAGATACACACTTGGAAGGCGCGTGGAACAACTTGGGAGGCAGATTGGGCATTCGCACTATCCCCAGTAAAACGACACAACAATCTGCAAATGGCTGCGATAGGGCGAATACAGAATTACCCCAACATGCCTACAGAGTTGCTCCCCAACAAAAGAAGAACAAAATCCTAATCGCACCGCATTCTTTGAAGAGCGTCGGGAGGGCGGATTTTAGGTCGGCGTTTGTCGACAACTTGTCCAGGAGTTCTCCAAGCGTTAAACCGGAAAAGTCCGCCGCTTCCCTCGTCATTTTTGTTGTAGATTCTGAAAACAGGTAACGGGAACCCAACTTTCTGCCCGTTACACTCTCGTAGTAGAGCAGCAGCGGTGGCCGGTGCAGCTCGCCACGAAGCATGGTCCGTGTGCACAGCATCGCGTCTTTGAGTAGTTACACTATTAAATAATGCTAGAGACTAAGCATTGAAGATGCCAATTCAGCTGCTTGAAGTAGTGTTTTCGTGCACACCTGGGGGAACTTGCTCCGAACAGAAGACACAGGCAGCGCTCTACCGGCTGCTTGGCAGTTCACCTTGAAACCCTTATTAACAAGATACGACGATTAAAATGTGCAGTTAGTTGGTAGGGAAATATGTAGTAGATGTTGAATTGGTGTTCGTCTGTTTCCTTCAAGTTTTTCTGCCCCGTCCTCGTAAGTCTGGGGGGCCCCATACTACAGTGCGTCTGGGGCCAAGCTCAAGCTGAATGGCCACCGAAAAGAGATATTACAACTCTCTGCCTAAACAAAGATGAATTCGGATTCAATAGTGGGGCCTGATGGCCAATCTTCTCCTCCCGGAGGCTTACGAGAGAGGCTGGGCCAGCTGTTGGAGAGGACATGGCAAGCACACCGTCCCTGGCTTGAGTGGCCGACCTCGTGGGAGGGTTTGCAAGAATCCGACGACCACCTTCTGCTGAGGGAATACTTGACGAGCCCACGCGTCCACAAGGAAAAGGTTGAAGAAGTATGTGCACTGCAGTCGGTAGAGTATTCAGATCCACTGTCTCCCAGTTGGTCCCCCATCGTGCGGAGATAAGAGCAGTGAAGCAAAGAAGTGGATCTTCTGAGTTCTGGATTGCACCGACCGCAGGCTTCTCCAATCAGTTTCTTTTCCTTGCGGTTCCTTCTGCAGCAAATTTCAATTAACACGTTCAATCTGCACGGGAAATCTGGGGAGATAAACACTGAAACGGGTTCGCCTGCCGTACGTTCCCATGTTGCGCTATTCTTACCTTCAGGTTAGACGACAATTTATTACGGCGGTCAGAGCCAAGAGTTTGGCGACGGAGGGAGTGGCGGCCTTCCTGGAAGGGGGAACAACCGATGAGTGGATGCTTTACTCTTGTCAGTCAGTCCCCGTACCACTTTTGATAGTACTCATACTTTTTCCGTTCTCTTTCGTCACAATGCACGACATTTGCTAGCAAGCCTTTCCTATCAAGTGTGTTGATATGGGTCCGCCTATAAATTCGCACGGACACCGAATATCAGTTACGCTTCTCTGCGTATGTATGCCCCGTTGATGAAGGAAGTCAGCTGTGCTGCTACACACAGAACCAGCTAAAGAAGTGTGTTTCTCCGTTTCAGCTGACTGCAACAAAGCTGTCTTTAGACAGGAAGCCTTTTTCCAGTACTTGGTTGGAATAAACGAACCCGACATCCATGCGGCATACATTTTGGCGTCTGATGAGATTGTATTGTTTACCCCGAAAATCCCGGAGGACGCCCTACGGTGATTCGCTCTACATTCAGTGCTAGATCTATGTATGCAGGGACCGGAGGAGGCATGCCTAATTTACTCACTGTGTTGTTCTTTGTTAATTGCTTGTCAGGTTCATGGGCCCTCCAAAGGATCCCAGCTTTTACAGGAGTCGATATGCAGTAACAGACGTTATTGAGGTGAAGGAGCTGAAAGAAGTGGAGGAAGAGCTGCGGGTATGGGAGGCAACTCCCTCTGACCTTCGTCTTCTCACTACAACTTGACTACTCCGCACTTGTGTGTAGTTAGTTCTGACCGGGAGGGGTAGGATGCCACAAAGAGAAAAGGAAAAGACAACAGGCACCAGACACGCTGCTTTTCAGATGCAACACCAAGCTCTGTGGTTCCACCTTTGCAGCGACGAGGGATACATACACTGCATGTGCTGAAGGGGGTGAACTCCGACAGCGGGCGGCCAGTGGGACCTCCAAAGGCTCTCAGGAGTTTTTCATCATTTGCTATCAATGATACGGCTCTTTACGATATACTTGTGGATTGCAGACTCCGCAAGGTAACTGCTGAATGGTTGTTAGCCGCTGATGAAGTACTCCTGATCGACTTTTTATCTCCAGCTATAGTGCATGATATGTGGTGTTAGCAATCTGGGTGTTCGGGAGTCAAATCTGCTGCGGCTTGTCGAGGATTGAAGGTCTTGTGCCAAGGTTTCACACCCCAGAATTGTGCTCATAATCCCTTTAGTTTGAGGCTCTGTCTCTTGGGCTCTGGTTCTCTCGCTGCATCACTTGGGTTTACTGCACTGCATGCACGGCTGGAGACCGCGGTAATCTGTTTCCTACTCAGACGCCTCTGGAGGCAGACTTCTTGGCCGCTGCCTGCCTGTGTTCTTCCCAAGCGCACTGCTTTGTTGCGAGGCACGTTCGGTCTGGGATGGTGGAGGGTCAGGCGGAAGCTCTCTTCAAGGCATACGTTGGATTCGTCGGGGGTGCTAGACATGTAGCATATGACTGTATATGCTGGTAGGTGCACGTTGATAGCATGGGATCTGCCTACGAATTAATCATATACTTTCATACACTTGCATCTCCTGATTCAATTTTCTCAATTCACATCATATAGCTAGGAAGATCTAGGTAACGTGGAATTCGCAATACATGCAGTAGTACTTGGTTTTTATATGCATGCCTGTTCCTACAATCTCATGCTTCACGAGCAGTGATAATGTCTCTTCACAAACGGCGTGGATTCATTACCTTCCTCGTGTCGCCCCTCTGCGTTTTTTGGAGTGCTGGGGTAAATGCATCAATCCTTCACTACGGTCACGCGGGTCGCCCAAACGACGCAGCAATCGGAAGCACTGACTTGTTGCTCTTTGACATGGTGGGTGAAGGAAATAGTCTGCATTCACGTCGTTCAAAAGGGTAGAAGGGAATACAGTGTAGAATGCAGATAGTAGAGCAGTGGAAAGTGTCTCCACCTGATTGCTGCTCATTATTCTCCGAATGGCTCGGTGCGTGTTGTCTCCCAGGGTGGTGACTTTAACGGCTATGCCACAGACATTACTTTCACGTATCCGTCGAGCGGAACTTTTACAGAAGCCCAGAAAGCAATATATGAGGCTGTGCTGGACGCGCAGTTGGCTGTCATTGAACGCATGCGACCGGGTGTCCAGTGGACAGAGCTTCATCGTTTGGCGGAACGTACAATTCTCAAGCACTTGAAGGTCAGGAATGATAGCTGACCCTAAGGGTGCTTGCTTTCCGCTACTCCACCAACGTGAAAGTCTAAGGGTTCTATCGCTCTTGCTGCTGCTATAAAAACTCGTGCACGGTTTTGCGGCGCTACTTCTTACATTCGATCTGCCATTCTTGGCGTCCTTTTTGAAGCAGCAGAAGTTTTTGCGCTTCAGTGCGTTCGTGTCGTCGTGTGTTGCACAAATGATGAACGAAATGACATTGAAGCCTGCGCATTATTTTGGTGTTCCGTGTCGTTCTTCTATTTTTAACAAATGTCATTTCAGGCTCTAGGACTTCTCGTTGGATCTCTGGAAGACTGTGTTGCTGCCAGTATTGGATCTGTCTTCATGCCGCACGGTCTTGGTCATTTTCTGGGGATGGACACTCATGATGTTGGGGGCTTTACGCCGTCTTCGCCTCCGAGTGATCTTCCAGGCCTCCGCTACCTCCGCACCACCAGGACCCTTGAAGAGGGCATGTGTATTACCGTTGAACCAGGTAAACAGTTGCACTGCAAGGTGGCATAAGGGCAGTTTGGCTTCCTGTGCCGCGTGTCCACATCGACATACAGGCACCCGGTTCTGGCAGCTAGATTGATAAGGGAATGGCAATTTTCGCCGAGGCCTCTAGATCCATCTGTCCTTTTCTTGTCCTAAATCAGGATGTTATTTCGTTGACAACTTGTTAAAGCAAGCAGCGTCCAACCCTTCTCAAGCCCAGTGAGTGGAACAACTAATAAACGTTACTTCTTTAGTGTTTTCCAGACTTCTTATAACAAATGGTATTACTTGGCAACTCCTCCATATCGTGCAGCTAAATCCTTGCATATTCGAATATGTGCTTTTTCATTTGACATCTTCAGCTTGTTGGACTTCACTGTCATCGATAAGTACAGGTCCGTAGGCGGAGTTCGACTGGAAGACGATGTCCTGGTCACAAAAGACGGCGTGCGCAACTTAACGGTTCGTTGCTTTTTGCATTGTGATCTACTGTCGTCACACGGTCCCGTCCTCTTTTCACATGCAGGGGTAGGCGGTTTAGGATCGCATGATCACCCCGTGAGGGCATTGCCAGTGTCTTCTAAAATAATTGGCAGAAGTGTATCAGCTGCTTGCTTCTTCAGGTTGTACCTCGGTCGGTGGATAGTGTTGAAGAGCTCCTCCGTTCCGGTGTCAAGCCGCCGGGGCAGCGTCCGTGATGTTCATTAACTCGAACCTCAATCTGCTTTTTCCCTAGTTTAGCTATGTGCGAAGAGCTATAAGATATTCGTACACATAGGTACTCGTTTCCTCTCTGTGCATACTGCGAACATCGGGGAGTCCATGACATCATGGCTCGACCTATGTTACTGAAAATGCAGAGGCGGTGCAACCGGCTTTACAGTTCCGTAGTGGACAACACTCAAGTGGCCCTTCAGAGCCATGCACTCCTCATCTACACTGACCGTTGAAACCTCCTTTGTCTACTGCAACAATGAAATAAGCGGAGATTTAGAGTGACTGAAAAGGACAGCGGCAGTACAGTTCCTCGTTGCTACTGCAGCAAGCACCCCGCAAAGCCGCAGTTTTCACGGTTAATCTCCTACCGATAGAGCAACGACACCCAAGAGCTCAACACTGCTGCAAATTGACCCCACCGGCAATGAGCTGCGTTGACTCTGTGATATGCGTTGCCAGCTGACGTGCAAACGAGAAAAACGACTGGCACCTATTCCTGAAGTGCGGGCACTTCCTCCGTCTTGTGTGAACGGCCACCACAGCCGCACATAGTGCGCCAGAATCCAGGGTGTTGGTCCTGTATAAACAAGACAAGAGGCTTGCATGTATGGAAAGGTGCAATTTTCTATCATGGTGCCAGATGGATATCTGCAGTGCCTGAATATACACGCAGAAGTGCTCCTCACCAGTCCGGGCGCATCGTCATTCATTAGTACGATTTCCGGCTGAGGACAGACGACAGCAGAGCATAAAAAGGGGTGATGTACGAAGCCCCTCTGACTTAACCGTACGCCTGATACGGATAGGCGACACCCAGAACTCGTGTCTAGCTAACGATGATGGGGTGCTTGGAAAAAGAGCACACGCGCGTTACTAGCTACCGCCTTCCAGTTTCCTGTTGTAAACAGCCTGCTGTTTCAGGCTATCACGACATTCCCGTCGGAATGGCACAAACTCACGGTCGTGCTCTTAGTGCCTGTTTCATTGGTTCCCTCTGGCTTCTCAGGGGATGTCGCTGGCTCTGGCTCTGGGGGAGGCGTGGGTGGCTTCTCAGGACGCGGCGTTGCTCCGTACTTGACCAGTAAGTCATACACTGACACGCAAGCGGCGCAGCAGATGACAACCAACACCCTCGAACAAACGCGCATATTTGTTTACGTTGTCAGTGTGAACACAGTGTTAACAAGGCCTTGGGCAAAATGCCTCGACCTGAGGAGTAAGTGAAGATAGGAATCACCCGAATGTAGGTAGTGTTTCTGTGAACCTACGTGGGGATCCTTTCTCGCAACGGTCCAAGGCAGTGCGGCCATCATTATCTTCATCATTAATACTCTTACTTGCTCCTCGTTCCAGCATCGCTTGTACCCAGTCTAACGGGACCTGATGCGCATCGTACGGCTAAATTGGGGCAAAAATGGGGCAAGACGCAGCTGGTCTGCCACGCTACATGCGGCCACTCTGGGACTCGCCTGAGGGCCACGCTCATGGAACTGTTCATTCTTGCCTGCTGATCGCATGCAGTCATCAAGGCCGTGGTGCCGTCGGTGGCCTTGGTGTTCAAGTCAAGATCTTGTTGTGGGAGGAGGTACTCGACAACTTTCTTCTTCTGCAGCATCAGCGCCATCTGCAGTAAAGTGTACTTTGATGCGTTCGAGCTGAAAAGTGCCACACACGACAGTAAGGAAGAAATTAACAGGGAACACCACAATATGATACAGATACAGACAAATTAATACAATCCGAAGTATCAGAAATAGCTTTAAAGACAGCTCTTGCAAGTACCCATAAGGAAACACAACAGAAACAGTTCCTACTTGTCATCCATGTCAGACACCGGTTGGTTCCAGTAGCGCTTCATCGCCTTCACCGTTCCCAAGCTGCCATCTGATCACAAAAAAATGGGAAGACGCCAGAAAAAAAAAACGTGTCTTCAACGCACAACAGCTTCGGCGGGGGGCGGACTTGTCTCGAGACAGGGGAATTTCTTGACATGCACCCCGTTCTCTAAGCGAAGGGGCCCGGGTTTTTATTTGCCCAAATTTGCCACAGTATTCAAGCATCTCCAATTGGATCTAGCATGAGCTGTTCTTCCTTCCTATCTGAATCGCTTCACATGAAGTGAAGCTTAACGGGAGTATAAATACTAGGTCCCCGCCGGAAGTGGGGGGCGGATAGATAACACCAACTGGATATTTCCACTTACTGGCAATTACTGACTTCTCTATGTGGAAGGTTGCCATCTTCGCATTCGTCCAAGTCGGAGAGGCTTGACCAAGCCCACAAGAAGCACACGGGGAAGGTTTTCGTGTTCACTGTGCAACTACACAGCCTGAAGAAGGGAAGTACCGATAATTCAGAGGGTTGGACCGCATAAACTAAAGACGGCTCGTAAAGATGCAGTGCAAGTTAAAGCCTCAACTGCGAGCAGGAACTGCTGAAACGCCCGCCGGTTGCCAAGGAGCCACCATATACTGAATCAACAAACCAGCACCAAGAGAACTTGTTGGTGCCGATTTCGTCTCTTGGAAGTCTGCGTGAGTGTGAAAAGCAAAGATAAAGGACCTCTCGACGGAATTTCTGCAAATCCACGAAAGTCGAGATATCCTGTAGTCCCCAGTCAAAACTCCCCCAGTCCAGTGTTACGCAGGGTTCTTCGTAGGTCTTCTTGTCAAAAGATTAACGGTTTCACAAACTATAGGCCTATTTGTATGGGGAGATGAATTTGTCAGGAATGCGCCGACTGCGCTCGTTCGCTCAGCAGCCCGCGGCGGTAGTAGCCAACGACACGTAGGTGAACCAATGGACCTGGATAGTTCATCTTGCAACAAGAATTAGCAAAGTCACTCATGATTCACTACATTTACTTGTACTTTTCGTTTCAACATGTGACTATGGTGTTTCCAGCTTGCCGGAGCATCGCACACATCTAGCGAGCCACGAAAACGCTATCGTCGAACGGAAAACAACGTAGGGGCCAGCCAGCAGTGCCACGAACCCTGTTCCGCTATGCATGCAAGGAAAAACTACTGGTAGACTGCTTTTGCTAGTCTGTTCTAGCCGTTTGGGAGCTCTATGTGTGCCTTCGTGGGGGACGCAGCAGACACGGGGTTAACGAGCAGTAGCCGAGCTTGTGCCATTTTCTGTACATTATCAACCCTTGGCAACAGGGAAACAACGCCATCTTTGCGAATACAAGCACAATCATAGGGAGTGTTCGCCATACTTGAGTAGAACAAGGCGGAAGGGCACGGGCCGGTGAATCGAATGTTCGCTTTGCATGGAGGCCGATGGGCCGATAGGGAAGCATTGTGTATTATTATTCTGTGTACACCGTATCCCTAATGCCACTTTGTGCCTATATTCATTGCCTTCACGTGTAACGTTCGATGAATCCTGTTACTAGAGCTTGCGGAGCAAAAGCAGGGGGAATGCCGCATCAAGCACTGAGAGGGTGTGCTCAGTGTCCAAACTGACAGTTTCAGTGCACTACATGCCATGTTGCGAGAGTTAGATTGCTTTAACAAAGGAGCACTACCTTGGAAAAAGCCTTTTTGTAGAGTCTGCAACCCAAGGGGCAGCTAAGAAACGCCCAAACCTTCTCGTCTACCAACCCCTCTTCATGAATCCAACTCGCATCTGCGATGTTCGGGGAGTTTGTTCCTGGATATTTGTATCAATTGCAGATCAACAGTCACCTAAACTCGCACAGCAAAGAAAGCCAGGGGAAAGTGAAGACGGTAGCAGAACGCTCAGAATGTACTTCGCAAACAAGGGTGCATTGTGCACGAGTATGACTAAACATGGAGGTAGCGCGGGTAGTTGTGCATGGAGTTTTGTGCATTCATTCTACCTGGCACGCTTTGTCTAGGAAGCCGCAAACCAACAGCAGCTCGGGACAGAGGTGCAACCACATCTGCGAAGCATTCCGATAAAAGACGGCAGCACGCCTGCTGCGTTCATCGCGAGGCTCCGGGCACCACGCTGATCCATTATCTCGCTGTTTTTGGTCGTCGTGGCGTTTTAAGTAGCGGAAAGACTCCTATTCAATGCCAGCTCGTTTGAAATTTGTATGTAGTTCTTTTCCTTCTGGCTTTTCCATAAGTGCACGCAACAGCTGGATTGCTAGCGTTCCACTCGATCTGTTCCCTCTCTGCAGATCGAAGGGGAAGGCTTCTTTGTGTCCCACAACAGCAAATGCCCACGACAAACAAACCGTTGAGATGGTAGACAAGAGACGATATCTTGTCTTCCGTGACCTTTGCTTCCCGTCAAAATTTTCCACACCGGTAGGTGATGCCCTAGTGGAGATAATTGTCCAGGGATAGTTCTTAGTATTACCGTCCTCTTGCCTCTCCGCAACAGTACAGCGTCAACGCACCACTTAGCGTGACAACTTCTGCTTGGGCTGCGCACTGAGAAATAGCCATTCTGTATAGCGTCCTCCGAAGAGCGTAGAAGTTGCTATATTGATCCTCTCCTTTTACTCTAGCACCGATTAGCGGGGTGCAGGACCCAACCACTTGCCTAACAGAGACCTGAAACTGCTGCATGAACGCGGGACTGAGTTTTGCTTTATAGAGAACGAATAAGTTACTACGTTAGATCGTTCAGCCTCCAGTCAAGCCAGGTTCATACGTGGCATTCCTTGTAGGTCCCCTCTCAGGTTAAGTGTAGCATTGTCCCCGCAAAGTTGGTCTGGATGATGCTTACCCCTTTCTTTTTTCATGCTTCTTCCTTTTTTTTTATTAGCTTCGAGGGCGATCAAGAAGCCGTGTGTCGTTCGAGGGGAGGGGCAGATGTAGCGTTGTCTGGGTTACTTTGGTTTGTGTATTCCTCCTTGCGTGCAGGGCCATAGAGGGCTACTCAATTCCTCAACAGCAGTCTATAGTATGAATGCATGCAGTAATATGGGCTTGACTGTGTATGCTTGTGGGAATACGCTGCAGCACGAGTTGCGGCCGGGTGCGTCCCAACTCTTGCCGGGCCGCCTCCTCTCCCCCGTCCGCAGGCCCGTGAACCACCAGTCATAGGCTTCTTGACGACTAAAAAGGATGTAAGCTGATATTCGGAAACGCTTATACTAAGTATTTTGATTCTACTGCAGCGCGCAACTGCCCTTGGGTAAGATCGAAAACTCTCGCTCCACTACGTGGTTCTACGTGGTTCATTAGCAACACACATCTCGCTATAGAAGTTCTAAACGCCATTGTTGATGGCAAAATCTCCCCCTCTTTCTCTTAGATCTAACAAATGCCATTGTAATTCACTTACCATAGCTGCTAATTCTTTTTCGGTACGTGCGGCGCTAAAACTGGAACTTTCCCATGTTGCAGATAGTTCAGCTCAGTTGACTTCCCCAATTCCAGGAATCGCTTATACCCCAATGCACAAAATCTGCAAAGCTATCGCGTGTCTGCTAAAAGCGTCTCTTCACTGTCTAGAGTCGCACCGACTGGTACAGCTGTGCGGGTCGTGAACAATTGTCGAATAGTAGGAGAAGTATTATCCCACCACGTATGAGGCCCACCCAGGCCTGTAAACCCATGATGCGCAGCAGCAGTATTTGTTTACTCTAAACTCAAGGATAGTTTCCCCCGTGAATCGTGGAATTAAGTACAATTTCGATGCCGGTGGTGCATCGATGAGCTTGAGGGCTATGCGCCTCTTCCTTAGTGGGGTGAAAGAGGGCTTATTTGTTGCAAAAAATGAGTCTGAAGAAGTGTTTACATGCTTTTGATAGTCAGTTGGCATTGCCTTGGGCCGCCGTGCAGTATGCAGTGCTCGCTGACTCGCCCCGAACATGCAGCCGTCATCGAAGCGACTCTCGCGGCAGCATCTACAGATCACCAAAACATGAAACATGTTGAAGCGTATCTTAATTTAAAATTTCAACTGTGCTCCCTTTTCCGGAAGCTCGAGAGACTGGCGTCTGCATGTAGTCCCAGCTTGCAGATCTTACGAAGCCGCTCGGACAATGCCGAATTCCACTACACAAGTTTCTGTAGCGGCTTAAAGATAGATACACTTAGAGCTGCGTTACAGGCGGCTTCAAAGTAGCTAATAGTATTTGTAGAAAGGGAGCGTGCCTGGTTGCGGCCTTCAGAGGATCGCTCCTGTTGCAACACATGCTTGACTTCTTGGTGTGTGTGAGGATGGGTAAAGATGGACCCTCTAGCTGTAAGACGGAACAGCCCTTTGTTGACCGCTTTAGTGCCTTCTAGATTTATTATGCATACTGTGCAGGAACAATTTTCACCCTTGGGGACGCGTTGAACAACACTACCGCAATGGCCACTACACAATGCCGCAGAAGCGTAGCAACTCACGCCGGCTGCTCATTCCGAAATTTCGGGAAGAGTTTACACTTAGTTTCCTTCTGCGTTTTTTCAGGACCCCCGGACAAAGCATCTTTATATAACTCCGTGCTCGCCGTACCGTCGCTTCGCCAAAGTACTGCCAGGCAGGCAGGAGCTATACGATGCCGTCGCAGGTTAGAGGCATGCAGGCCTCGTAGTGGTGGCATATGCGCTGTAAAGAGACTTCTGAGGCATCCAGCGACGGAGACAACTATCCACTGAGTGCTCACGGAAGTCCCGGTTGCAGCCGCCGGCGCGGTTTAGTCAGGTGTTTAACTTTCTGCTCGTATGTACGTTTCCTCAACTGTATTGTCGTGTAATGCACAGGCGATGATCTGGACAGTCTGCGCAACTATCGGGCGTACTGGAATACTCCAATTTGCACGTATAGACAGCCGTAAGTGAAATTGCGCCTCGCGGGAACTGCGGCCGCTATTACGTAGTCCCCGATGACCTTGTGGTTGGTCATGCTGCTTCATGAATGCTAACTTAAGACTGCCCTTGTAGCCTTTTAAACTTGACTTTCGAGTCATTTCTTGCGGTTTATGTTTGCTCCAGAGGCTATGGAGAGATATTTACTACTCCCCAACTGTGCCTGCTCCTGCAGCAAGAACGGCTCTTGAATTATTTGCTGGCAGATCCTTTCACTGACGTCGAGGCAAGGTCGTCTCCGAGTGGTTGGACCCTGCTTATGATCGCTTGTGCAGCAGATGTACACTGCGCCCTACTTACCATTATTGTCTTGTCCTTACACATATTGTTAGCTCGAGCTGCTTCCTTAATAGACTTCACTTACTTTGCATATTATTTAGCGAAGCTTGTAACGAAGAGCGTAGCAAAACGAATGGGACGCAGTGTCTACGCCACAAGCAACATATGCAACGCGATGTTTGGGGTGCTGTGTGGAGCTACTCAGGCTTCCCTTGGTATCGTGAGTTTAATACTGCAACGAGCCAAAAGCAAACGGCACATAAACGCCATCAGCGCCTCTGGAAACACTGCGTTGGACTGCACCCGCCCAGGTGGCAGTGGTAAGACAGGTGTAGCCTCGTGGTATCCTTTTCGAGTTATAGTGGTCGCTGGCTTTGACACTGCAGTGCTTAAATCATGTGATTCGAGAGCCATAAGTTTGATTTCTGCTCAGTTTATTTGTTTCTTCTCGACCGAGGGGCTCTCCTAGCAGAGGAAATCCATGGAGCCTCAGATTCCAGCGATGCCGAAGTTCGTGTTGAAAATATGGATGGGAGAGAGACGGGTTCATGGGACCGGGCAAACAGAAGGCTGAAAGAACTACACGGTAGCAAACATGCCAAGGATGAGACTCACGAACAGGGCAAAAGAGCAGGTCAAGTTGGCAGGCTTGTTGAATCGCATCAGCCAAATACGTCATCCTTGGCTAGGGCTCCCCAAAGTCTCACGTCCTCCCTTCGCAGTGAAACGCAAGTGGAGCTCCCCAGGACTTATGCCCGGGCATCCATGTCACTTCCAGAAGTTTTAGGTGGCAAGGAGGCGGCCCTGACGAAAAGGGCGCCGGTAAGCCTTTCGAAGAGAGGCGTCTATTGGGGGAGCAGACCAAAGGCCAGGGGATCTGCAGATAGCACCCAAATGAATGCAAAGCCTCTGTCACCAGGGCGCTCACAGACAGACGGTGCGATACAGGATACAAACAATGTACGACCTTCCGCACTGGAACTTCCTTATGGGACGTTCAACAGACAGTCTGGCGGCCAGTGGCAAGCTGATTCGATGGAGCATTCAAGGGGGTCGCCTGCTGCTAAGGGAATCGAAAAGGCCGTTGCACCAACACATGTACAGCCTGAAGACAGCAAACGGGAGGATGCAGACATTGGCAATTCTTCAGCAGTGGAACAACAACCCCCAGCGAACTCCAGTCGATCAGCAGGCAGCGCGCGGCAAGCGTATTCGAGTACGCATTCGAAGGGATCGCCTGCCGCCAAGTCTACGGGGAGACTTCCGTCCCTTCCTGGAGGGGATCAGGCCTCGGAAGTTTCTAGCACTTGGTTATTGCCACAAAAGGAAAGTATCACACATACTGATTCTGCCATGACGGACCCACCACACGAAGGCTCCAGCGATATGAAAAACACTTCGCCCACTTCGGCGGCCGTGAAAGCGTACGACCGCACCGCTACAGAGCCCGTGTTGGAAAATACTCTGGCGAAACGGTTTCGCAGCTTTGCCTCGGCGGACTCTGTTCGCCGACGGCCGAACAGCGCAATCGACGTCCCTTTTGGCAAAGGCGAACAACCGCAGCAAACTGACTCGCCGTGCAGCAGTGGGCGCTCTTCTGCTGAAGCAGAGGGCTCGCTTACACCTCAGGGCAGGACAGATATTACTTCCAGGGATTCTGAATTACTTGTTGAAGGCGGATCACAAGTAAGCCAACCGGCTTCGACCGATAGAGCATCAGAAGGAAGCCAGATAGCAGGTCCAAGGCAAAGCTCTATGGAAGACGAAGACCACGCTCGAGATGCGATTGATACAGTAAGAAAACCTCAACTCGACGGGTCTGATGAAAGCAATAACGTAATTACAGCTGAGGAAGCCACTTCTGATTCAGATGGAGAATTGTGGCAGCGAGAATCCAGTCCCTCTCTGAAAAGCCGTGATAAATGGAATTCGACATCGAAGCAACTGTCACTATCTCCATCTCTCAAGAATATTGGATCAGGAGATACAGAATCACAAACCCTAAACTCCGGCGTGGCTGTGGTGCCACGCAGCCAACAAGAGCTACTTTCACCAACAATTACAGCAGGAACAGCGGAGGCTCTCTATCCCGCCAGCCAGAGGCTCTCTACCTCGCAAGATGATTCGCTATCGGGTGGACAGAAGACGATGATTTTGCACGGGGACTCCGATGTGCTGGAAACCCTCGACCCAGATGTGCCTGTACTCATATCGAGGCCGTCTACTGAGAAACCGGCATCGCAATCGCCTCCTAGGTGATCTGGAAGTAGCTGAGAGGCAATGTGCTGAGTATTTTTCCAGCCCAATTCTCACTTTGTGTCTCAGTTGTTCTGCATGACGTACCTGCTTTATTTCCCCTTCGTGTTCTGAATGGCAGAGATGGCTGGCACCATTTCATGTGCATTCAACGAACAGCCAGAATATGCAAGGGGTTTTTGACGTGTGGGCTGACACCTGGTGGATCGCTGTTGAAGCAGCTGTTGGCCAGGTGACGCTGCCGAATTCCGCTAGAATGAGGCACCATGATGGAGTGCCGTGAACCTGCAGGGCAGGCCACTATTAAAGCCCAGCAAGACATGAAGCTTGTCGAGGGAGGGAACCTTCCGAAATGCACAGGCGGACGTGATTATTTGTCTCCTGCACAACGGTGCAAGAGGATCTTCTCACGACTTCTCATTAGAGATTATTTTATTTCCTGCATCGCCTAGCTTGGTCGTGCTTGGCGCATGTGACTGGACACATTCAATTTTTTCTGGACACATTCAATTTTTTCAATCCAAAGGAAGCTAAGCTCGTTTTGTGGAGAGCAAGGGGTTCAGACTTTGCTTTTTTTTCTGTAGGTTCCGCCACATGTTAGCTAGTAGTACTTGCACGACTGGATTGTAGGAACCTGCAACTCAACGTGTCCATTTGCCAATAGTCAATACAATCTTGCCATTTTACAACGAGTCGCTTTTTTCCCGGCGGTTTACACTTCCAGGCTACCGGCACTCCTGCAATTTTGTATCGTTGCCCTGACGGCTGTCTACTGCAATCAACAGACTTGAGTTCCCTTTTCCGCTTTAACTGTTCCAAATGGCTTATTCTTCTCCCTCTTCAATGCAAGGCACTTGCCTTGCCTTCCCTTTCTGCTTGGGATGAGCAAGGAGGCGGATTCAGCCATGTGGTGCGCACTTTGCGAAAAATTGGCTGACCTACGTTTGTTCAGAAACTGCATTAGGTCCTAAATTCAAACATTTTTGGTAATGTTCATGCGTTGGGCTCGATGCAACTCCCTGAGGAAGTGCTGCATATACAGTGAAGGGCAGGCGCATGTAGCGTGGGCCTCTACCGCTATCACAGCTGCTGCGGTGGCACTCTCTCCATAATATTCAAAAACGCCGCTGACTTGATCAAAGAAAGGAGGCTGTAACATTTGCGGCGAAACGCGTCTCTCATCTCGTGACGGCGCAAAAACCCAATCTCATTTAGCATTCTCGTGCAGCTGCTTGTTGAAGCAACTGCACGAATGCCAAATAAGAGGTGCAGTGGTACATGGCTTTAGACTATTCGAGCTTACGTCCGAGCTTCGACTGTTCATTTTGCATAGAGAAGAAACACAGAGTAGCCTAGACTGGCAAGGCAAGTGCCTGGCTAGCACTGCACAGAACAGCATCCCACCACGTGCAGCTGGATGGCGTCTACCCCCAGAAAGCCGAATTTAAATCTCACAGAAGAGTAACTTCCTTTTCTGTATAGAAGCCTTTTTCACGCCGTGGTTGGGAGCCGCGGCGGATTCGACAGTCAACATGTGTGGATATGAAAATTTGCAAGAAGCCCCCATCAGCCTTTGCACAATCTAGGAAGTCACTGAGAAGAAGTTTCTGTGCCTTAGTTCCGAAAGGCAAGTAAACTGGAAGCAGAAAAATTTTCATGAAGTAGTGATGGACAGGGTCGTCGGGCGATCAGCCGGAACGACTTATATGATGAGCTAAGAAACGATGGAAAGACGATCCATACTGTTCCGCACTTGAAACGGAGCAACATATAGTGTTTTTTCTTAGGTGAAGGATCGCTTCGTGTACTGCAGTTGGAAAATGAGTGATTGTCTCTCAGCCCCACAACCGGTGGATCCCAACGTCTAACCGTTGTAGTCCTGCCGCCGCCGGGCAGCGGTCCGTCGTTGTCTTCTGCATTTACGATAGAAATTGAATAAGGTTGTATTTTCGTTTGCAGCGCCCAAAGTTTGGTGTAATCCGGTGAGTGGCCGTCCGACAATTACGCGGTGGTCGGCTCTGCTACTCTAGCCTGAGTGACCATTCACGCCCTATTGGGAACCGCGCCTAGAGCGCATCCAAATGGGCGTCCTATCCAGTTTGAAGCACTCCTTAGTACTCCTCCTCAACGTTCATCTCGATACCGGGGCGTCTACGGTTGCTGTCGGGGAAGATTCATGCAGCGCCTTCCTATCGGCAACTCAGGAAATGGAGGAGGTAAAACGGCATTTCATTTGCAGCAAGCGATGTCTCACTGGCTAGCCGTGAATGGTAAAGCGCGTACTGTTAGCTAAATATCTTGTGGTGACTTCTGTCTTGTTGTGTCTTGTGTGTAAGCAAAGTGCAGCAAAGCATCCCCGCTCCCATGGGCTCCCGGTGCATAGCCGAGAGGATGCTTTAAGGGCGGCTGGCTATAGCCAGATAACAGGAACAGGTGTCGCTTTGCCGGTTTGCAACTCAGATGCACAGAAGCTAATGCGGTCAAATCCTGTGCCCGTGCCAGTCAAGCGGATCACAACGACAGTACGCATACTTGACTTTGCAGTGCTCCACCGCCGATCATAACTATGAATCCTGCAAATACTAGGTCTGGACAGCTATCCATAAAATCCCATTGTTTGCAGTCTTTGGCAAAAGTGCACCACTTGGCACCACTGTGCATTGTGCTCCATGCTCAAAATGATCCGCAGGTTTTCGCCGCTCCGCGTCTCTCACCGACTTATATAGATATTCCTGTTCCCGTATATGTACCACGCTACGTCGAGGTGCCAGTACCGGTAGCCAAGCTAGAGATGCAAAGTTCGCCGTTGCCGCCGCAGTAGCGGGGAGGCAGGAGGAACGGGAGAGTGGACGACAGATTACGAGCAGTATGCAGCACATCCTGAGATGGCCGTGACGGGGATACGACAGCAGCCTGACTTTCTTTGGAGTTCAGTTAACAGCATGAGCAGATATGCACACGAAAGGATTGCGCTTCTCTAGGTAGGTATGAGCCATGTGAAAACAAACGTCCAAAGGTGTGTGGGATTGTGAACAATGCGCTGAAGCCATGACTGACTAGCCGGTTTCATTTACTTGTTGGGTCCATACAAATTGGATACAACAAATCACCCTGAGGAGGCGGGAGGCCACAATTGTAATCGCATTCACAAAGTTAGGATCCCTTCAACTAGCAAAGACTATACATACGGCTGGGTTGCTCAGTGTACGATTGTGCTTGAGAATCCTAGAACGGGTTGATTGTACCGCAGAAGTCTTGCCTTTTCTTTTAGACTGTGCTCGGTCTGCAACTAGAGAGGCTCGACAGCTGCAAAGGTGGTCGAGCAGTGCCTCAATGGCTGCAGACAGATAGGTTGCTTATGGACCTAAATATATGATTCAAAACGGTATTTTTGCCGTCGTGCCCATTATTCCAAATGAACAGCTAGCAGCTTTTGCGCTTATGGGGTTGCTTAGACATTACATGGCTTCAGCGTGTTGCATAGAGCGAGCAAAACCGTTTGCCAATACGTGGGACTTTTTCGCTGAAGTTATTGACAAGGTTTTGCACATGAAACGCCATGATAGCAGCAGTTCCCCTCGACCGACTGAAGTTCGGTACTCCAATATGATGCAGCACCAAATCTTTTCCATGTAGTTTTGTATCATTGATGAATTTATACTTGGCAGTTCTGGGCTCCTCCCGTGCCAGGTGTGATCGATAATGGCACTCCGAATGCAACTGTTTCGTCTTCTACCGAGAAGCAATCCGGGAACTGAGCAGGTCGAACAACAACGCCTACAACGGGAATTTCTCATTGGATCTCTAATTGACCTTTATTTGAGACCAGCATCCTGTGTAGCCTTCAAACGTGACCCGACATCAGACCGCGATTGATCACCGGCCCGAAGCACCGCGAAGGTGCCAGGAAACTAGGCTTTGCCGTACTGTAATCATTATCAAGGGTGAGAGCTTGAGCTGATAATGGTAAACTGCACTCTTCGATGCAGCCGTAATCGCCGGTATCCTGGGCGCTCGCAGGATATGAATGGTTCCACAGCTGCACATCAACGCCTCCCAGCACTATCAAGGGGCCGAAAGGTCAATGAACAAGCCAGATCTGTAGCGGGCTGCTACTCTGCACTTTTATTATTCTAGTGGAATTTTACTGCAGCTACGTGGGGGCTGTAAACTTAGAAGAGTGACCCAGGGTCACCAGGTCGGCCACGTATCCGTGTGGAGATTTTGGTCCAACTCTAATTCCCTCGACATGCCCTTCGAGCTTCGAAATATTCTTACACTCCATATATTTGCGCTTTTATAAATATATAGATCGAATGCCAGCTGTCACCGGGAGGAGAGGGTCGTCCAACGAGTGTGCTGGAGTGATCTGGCTGTGGCTGATTGTAATGCACAGTGGCCGTATACTGTGCCTACGATACCCACTTGAACTCTATGTCAGTAGATCTACAC